GCAGGATTCCCAAGCCCCCCCCCCCCAGAATATCTGATTTAGTGTTTTCTATTAGTAGAAACTAAAGAAGTATTTTGGAGGGTAGCTAATGTATTTGATATTTGCAACAGGCATATTATAGTTGTTATCAGTTCATTGCTAATTCCTGCATCTGGTGTAGAAAGGCAAAAAGATATTAGGGAACAAAGGCAAGTGATGATTTAAAGCTGCAATCCCTCACTGCTGCCTTCATTTTCTGCCTGCAGAATATCAAAAGCAGTGCAAATTAGACACATTAGCAGTATTAGGGGAAATGGAGAAATCCACTTAATTGTCACTTGTTGGTAGAGACAGATTGTTGTCAGAGAATGGATTGGTGTTATTACTGCAAGTTCCTGTGGATGTGATTCTTCTGGTTGATACTTACAAATTATCTTTTCTGCATAAGCACTAATGTTTGTTATGAAGCTATAATATGCTATAAGATTGCAGCATTTTTGAAGCCATAATTAATTAAGGAAGCTTAATTGATCATGGTGTTAAAATGCATAGAGCAAGAAGCACGTGCTAACAAATTTCAATTTACATTTGCTAATTGCTGTGGTTAGGTTTGCACAAATATACGTTCCAGGCTAATGGAATACGCCCCCGGTCCTTCATTTTTACATGTAGCGCAGCAAACTGCTAATAGCTTAGGTACTCAAGCAGCGAAGGACCTGTAAATGACCAGAAACATTTTAGAGCATTCGTGCAAAAATATGACCTCTGAAACTGAAAGGCTTATACAGACTAAATGAGCTATCAAGTGTTAGCGCTATCTATAAAAGCTGTTTGACTGAGCCTCGGCGCTTCATGGAATAAAATAAAATGCATCACTGATTACGCCCTTAGTGCTATGACTTCATCCATTGCACCAATGCATCTTGTCTGCTTTTCTGCAGCAGCTGTGATTTGCGAGAAGTAAAAGCCACACTGCTGCAGTGGAACAGAGTTTTTGCTGGGTAGAGCAATGGCTCTTTCCAGCTTTGGAGGGGGGGACCTGACAGGATCAGAATCTACTGATTTGGTCATTAAGAGGTTTTCCTTAAAGGATTTGTATACCTAAGGTCAAAACAAAATAGGACAAAGTGTTGTAAACAGTGATTTCTACATCATCCTGGTACACAGGAAAAGCACAGGCTGCCTCATTTTTGGTCTGGGGTGTTTGGTATATCAGCTTGTCACATGCACAACAACCACACCAGAAGCATCATAAATCCCATAGGTGCAGTGGCAAAGCAATCTCAAGGCTTCTGTATTAGTGTAATAAGTGGTTGGCGTCCCACATTGGGCTAATAACACAGTGAACATGATTTGTTGATACTCCAGGTCAATTTTCATGCCCGTTTTTTCCATGTACTGATTTCCTCAAGGCCATTTCCTGTGGAAGCTCCCAGCCTGCTCAGATTTCACTACATTCTTCAACAACTCCCAAAACCAAAGCTTTAAAGCAGTTTTCTTTTTTGAGAAGAATCTTATGTCCTAAGATACACCGCGGTTGGGGTTGGGGTTGGGGTTGGGGCAGGTATATGTTTTGATCGTCACTAGCAACATGGCATGGGGAGGAAGAGTTGTACACCTTAATGTAGTTTTCCCCCTATAGGTTTTGTCCCTTCACTCTGGTTCAGATATATGGGCTCCAGTCCTTTCCTACTGGGCCCCACCTGGAAGTGCGTCCCCTTGCTGCAGTTTAGGGTTCCAGGTCTGAGCTCAGGACAAGCTGAAGACCACCAATTTAAATGGATCCAGGAGACTTAAGTTCAGGCATACTTCCCTCTCTTACACACATGAGCAGAAATAAATGTCAGAGAAAAACTGGTTCAACTGCCTTCACTGGTTGAATTTATTTTCAGCTTAGCCCTGATGAGCTGTCAAATCAATATTCATGTTGACATGAAAATAATTGGTAGCAGAAGGGCTAAATGCCACTGCTGCCATATATTAGGCATAATTCAGTGAGCATTATTTGATTTTCTGTTGAAATAGTTCATTCCAAAAGTATGATTGCTGCAAAATACCACAAATCCTGAAGACTTTGCTTCTTTATATCTCTGGTCCTACAAAATTTAACCTAAAAATATTATTCAACTCAGTGATCATTACAAAAGCACTCAAATAACTACAGAATTTTCAACAACAAGGCCCCACCTCTCTTACTCTCTTGAATGCAATTTCAGTGAATCTCACCTGATACAGAAGACAAGAGTGAGGACTGCATTTGCTTTTTGGCTTTCCAAAAATAAAAATTCTCCCTCTGAGGCATCAGGAAAGGCAGGAGCTAGAGATGAAACAAATTTAGGAGGGGATGTCACATGCATGTTTGGTATGTTCTGAGTGCATGTGCCACAGAAGCTTCAGCCAAGTGGTTAAGCTCAGCACATGCAGCAGTTAACTTTTACTTTGCATGCAAAAGCACATACTACGACATAAACACACTCTGTAAAGTTGTTACAAGTAGGAATCTCTGATCCCAGAGAGGGTACTTTGCTTCAAGGTTCTTGCTGTTTCAAAGTCCCCAGCAAGTCTGGAGTTCAGCTGCTTCCAAAGTTCTTCACAAAGTATTCAATTTTCTTGCACGTTTCCAATCAGTCTCCATTGCTCAGATCTCCCCAATACTTAACACTGTAACTTGAGCTGAGCTAATTAGACCGTCTTTCCTTTGCTGGTTATTGCTTCCTGTACTTCAGGACAGGAATGGGGAACCTGTGGCCCTTCACTTGTTGTAAGACTCCTCCCATCAGCCTCAGTCAGTATTTCTAGTGGTCAAGGATGATGGGAGTTGTAGTCCAGCAACATTTTTGTTTCCTGCTTGGCAGGAGGTTGGACTCGATGGCCCTTGTGGTCTCTTCCAACTCTATGATTCTATGATTCTAACATCTGCAGGGCTGCAGGTTTCCCATCCCTGCTTTAGGGGTTAGCACTAAAATGCTGAGAGTTCCCATGTTGAATATGTTGACTTGCCTCTTTGCTGTTGCCATAGATTCTCTCCACACACCCCCTTAATACTGCAGTATGTTACGTAGCATACATACAGTACATAATACAACCTTCAAGCTGTTCACCACAAAGACTGTGCGTGCGTGTTTGCATGCACTCTGTCGTGATGCTTCTTTTTGTTTCTCTGTGCTTGTGACACATTGTGATGAAGGCTATTAGGGAGAGCCTCTGGTAAGTATTGCAACTGACAGCCATGACATGACAGTGCAATGCTCCCCAGCCTTGTGTGGGACTAGGAAGCAAGTGTAACTGTGGCAGCACAAGCAAATTTATACAACCATACACATCTTTTGATTTAAGCCATATTATGCCTCTTCTGCTGAAAGAGAAATAAGGAATCTTAAATGCTGCTCTGTTTCAAAATGTTTGCAAATAGCGTTTTATAGGATTATTCCCAGCACAGATACTATCTTATGTGCCGGGAAATAATGTGTACGGTTATGTGCACCGTACAGTGCTTACAGAACAACCTTACTGGTGGATTAGAGGAGAACTAATACCCAAAGCACTCCTGGGGACATGGCCAGAGAGTGTCGTGGTATTTTCCTATCTAGGGGATTCCTTTTTAGGTTTTATGATCACTCTCCATGGCTTCCAATGGAAATGCATACATCAGCTCCAGGGCTTGTGTATGCTTCTTACTGTTTCAGGGTGGGGGGGGGTGGGGTCCAAGCCTTCTCCAAGCCCACCTTGGCCTCTACCGCTGGTGGTATGTCAAGGGCTGCTGAGGGTTTCAGTGGTGGGAAGGGCCTTACGAGGTCAGACCATGGGGATCCATGGGAGGAGCAAGGAGCAGTTGGGTCTCCAGCTTCCAGTGAACCATGATCTCCATATCCCCAGCTTTCTTTTAAAATTAAGTGTCAATTATCTGTAGAACCTGAGTTATGAAGCAAAATGTAGAGGCATGATTATTCTCATTTTTCCATGAAAAAATAGCCTGCTACTCCCCTCTCTAGGGTTAACTATTTCTACCTGAATGGAGCATGGCAAGCAATGAGCATTGCAAAGAAGGAAAACCAAATCAGGAAAGCTGTGTGCATTGGTGTCATACAACATTACCTGATGCCATGCTATGAATATTTTACGCTCTCTTGAAAAAAGAATAGCGATAGAAGTTGCAGTATTTCAGATGCCAAGTCTTCCTTCAGTTCCATCCTGTATATCTGCACAGAAGTGAGCCTCATTGACTTCAGTAAGGCTTACTCCTAAGTAAGTGGGTATATGATTGCAGCCCTAGAAACATAGAATCTTCAGCATTCAGGATTAGGTCTTTGAATTCAGTGTGCATAACTCTGGCAGGAAAGTGTCTAGCATTTCACAAGTGCATGGTTATGTTTTTGAAAGTATTATTGGCTAGCACAAAATCTAGAAAATTAAGATATTCAGGAATATAGCAGGTATTTTAGGCTGCAATCCTATACCTGCTTATCTGGGAATAAGCCCTAATAAAATATACAATAAGAATCATAAGGATTGTTATGTTAGCAGCCCAGGTATTTCCATCGCACTAAGCAACCTGCAGAACAGATTAGGTTTACTTTACATGATTTGGCACTTTATATTCCTTACACGTTAGGAAGAGTGTGAGAGCAATGTAACTGTGTTTTAATGCTGATTAGGCAGAGAAGCCAAAGCTAGTTGTCTGTTTCTTTTGGGGAAACTTTTTCATGAAATTGAACTAGATGCTTGAAAAGGAGACGAATTTACTCTTTTTAACATACTTTTTGTTTATCTTGCTATATCATATGCAGCTATGTCATTCTATTCAGTAGGGGAAATGCATGCATCTCTCCTAGCTATGAATCCTTGAAATGAACTAGATGTTCTTCCCCCCCAACCATGATATTTAGCATATGAAAATAAGAGAAGTGAAAAGAAAGAAGCATAGGTGAATGAATGGAAGCCTCAGGATTCACAAAGCTACTTCACTGTGAAGGCAGCTGATCATTTCCTCTCCCCTCCTTGTTTGATTCCTTTATTCACAGGCAGGAATGGCATCCCCAGAAAACCCTGAGCAGCTCATAATTGCCCTGGAGCCAGAGGCTGCATCCATCTACTGCAGGAAGCTCCGCCTTCATCAGATGATAGACTTAAGCAGCAAAGGGCCTGTCAATGGTTATAACCCAAGTGAGACCATTGCCACTGGCTTTACACCAGGTAGGGCTGATTTAATTGAGCTATGATTAGTGCTCAACCTAATTTTCTACTCACCCTTTCTTGCCAAAATCTTTCATAGCAAGATGTCTTCCAAATTTCCCGGCCAACTCTTGATTTTCACACTGGGAGAACCTGGATAGGTAATTGCCAGCCCTAACAATAGAAACTACAACTACCCGGTCAGGCTCATTAAAGTGCAAACTTTTCAGCTGTTCCACAGTTTTAAGTGTTTCGGAACAGTGTTATCAAATGTGAGCCTGTGGCAAAGGTGGAATAAAAATTCTGAGAACGTTTTCCAGATGGATAGGGGAATTCTATACCCATGCTGATTTTATGAATGGAAGAGAATGGAAACATGCTTAGGTTAATTAATCTGTGTCAGGTTGGGTGGGGAGGAGCAGCCAACCCAACACTTGTATTGCTGTAGCTTACCTGGACAGTGGTGGGGCAGGTTGGCTGCCAGGTCAGGGCTGCTTGGACATACCAGCAGGAGCACCACACTGACTTTACCTATGTGCCTCCACAGCCTCCCCCTTGCCATCATCTCACCCCAGCCCTGTTTAGGGTAAGCTGTAGTGACACCAGTCTTGAGTGGGTGGCTCTGCTCCAGCACACAGGCCTCTGCTGCCTAAAAGGGATTCAAAGTGTGACATAACATCTCTGTTGATGAGTGTGAGCATAAATAGAATACTATTTCTTCCAGATTACCTGTTCCAGGCACTGGGGAAACAAATGTTTTGAACATCCGTTGAGACATTCTCATGGGAAAGTTCCATCAAAACAACCAGGAATTGTGCAAGACTGCAATTCTGGGGACAGCTGTACATTAAGCAAGGGACTAGAGTAGATGACCTTCCAATTCTGTGGTTATATGCTACTCCTAGCATGATATTAAAAGAGTAACTTCCAACCTGTTGCTTTCCTTGATCTAAAGAAAACTATGATGCCGCATTCATTCATAGTACAAAGAGTGCTTGCAATTAAAACAGTTATTCTTTCTTTTTAGTGATAGTAACAAACAATGTGCGTATCTTGAGTCCCCAATTCACAGATGGTTTGTTTAACGTATGCAACTCTCTTATGGGCTACCAAAATAGAAGACGGGAGTTTGCCTTTATGCTACCATGACTCTTGTGTGTCTTAAAATCAGCAAGCAATTTTGCAGAGAACACAGTGTCCCTGGCGCTGTGTATATTTGCAAAATTGGTAACACACCTGATCACCTCTAAATATATATATATTCATATCACAAGTACTATCCCTGAATACAGATTTAATTTAGTCAGACTTCAAATTCTGTGTTGATGCGCCCTCTGCTGGCAGAATTGTGATTTATTCAGAACCAACAAGGATCCCAACAGAGATTGTGATTTGTTCAGTTAAAACCCTTTAGCTGCCGCCACTGTCCTGTTTAGAACCAATTTGTTGTAAGAATTAAAGGAATGTCTGTGAATTGGGGTCATGGCTTTTATCTCCAAAACATTAGGACAAGTGCTCAGCAATATGATGACTAGCCAGCTTTCAGTGTTCTTCCATTTTGCGGTCTCTAGGGTACACATCCAACTTGTTCATGCTTTTTCACAATTAGTGTTTTGTCTCTGTCATCCTCTAGCTAAAGAACACATTCGGCGTAACCGTCAAAGCCGCACCTTTATGGTTGAAAATGTCATAGGAGAGATCTGGTCCGAGTTGGAAGAAGGTAGTGTCCTTTCCTGAGTCACCTTGGCCCTTGCTGCCTTTTGGTTAGACCTGTCAGCAGCAGCATCTGTGCAAAAATGTAGTTATATCATTTGACTCTAATACATGGCTTGTGATTCCTCTTGTATTAACAGGCGACCGTTACATAGTTGTTGATAGTGGAGGAGGGACAGTTGATGTTACAGTCCACCAGATAAGGTTACCTGAAGGACACTTAAAGGAACTCTACAAGGCAACAGGTGAAGCTGCATTCTTCACTCCTACTCATTGTAGAACATCTGCATTTAACCAGCAGAGGGCAGCACGGCGGGGCAGTGCTGCTCACTTGTGCTCTGGTGGGTCACATAGCTGCTGCTTATCAAACACACCAACAGGAGTGCCAGATTGTCTCTGCTGGTGTGTTTGCACTGTGTTGAACTTGCCACTGCCTCGCCTCTCTACCTCCTGATAAGCAACCAATCAGAGGTTAGGTGAGTGGTGGTTCTGTATAATGCAGCCCACCACTGAATTTCATTGTTATTAAATGAAGTGATGGCAATGTTCACAGACATATGTATGCTCTGTACCAAGGGAACTCTGATTCTGTACCAAGAACAAGCAGATTACGCCGTTGTTGTTGTTGTTACCATCACCGCCACCCACCCTTTACCAGCAGATTCTGAAGCAGGTTACAGTAATCTAAAAATCAATATTAAAAATAGTTAAAACAAATCTCAGTCACAGGAATAGCATGGGTCCTGAAAACACACATCTCAGGTGTCCAAAGCTAGCTGAAAACTGCATAGGGAAGGTGTCTGAGGGGAGGGACGTTCATAACTTAGGGGCTGCCACAAAGAATGCCCTTTCCCAGCCCGTACGCACCAAACTTCTGAGGTTGGAAGAACAACCAAGAGGGCTTCCGCTGCTGATCTTAATACCAGAGAAGTCTTTTATGGAAGGAGCCAGTCTTCCAGGTGTTAAGTAAATTTACATTGGTTTCTTTTTATTTAACATGCTTCCCCCATCAGTTTTTCAGGAAAGGCAAAGAGCATTGGCAATCAAAGAGAGGAGGGAGGCTTTGAAGTTTTAGGAGGAGCTGAAGCCAGAAGACAAGAAATGGGAACTTCAGGAAAGGGGGAAGAGATTATAAATAGTACATTAAAATTGTGTGCCTGGACCAGACTACATAGTACATTAGTTACATATTTGTGTCTTTAAGTGCGTACTCCATAGGAAGCTTCTCCACTTTAGAAGTTCATGGATTCCAAACAAATTCATAGGGTGTTTGAAATGATTGAACATAGCTGAGTTAGGTCTATTAATTTCAGCAGGTCTCCTCTGAGCAACAGTTAGTTGAATTCCACCCATGTATCTGAATTCTGCTTATGACATGCTCCTCCTGAGGTTGCTTACTCAATAATCACCTCCCTGAATTCAAAAGTTAATCCCTACTTAGTGTATTTAAGATTGCAGCTCCAAGTTTGCCTCAACTGCACACAGTATGTTTTCCTATGGCTTGATTTTCGAGTGCATATCGCAATGCCCATGCAATATTTAAAATATGTTGGTTGCATCATTCCTTAAGCGATATGTTTGATTAACAGTTATAATTGTCTCTGATGCAGGTGGGCCGCATGGTTCCTTAGGGGTAGACTATGAATTTGAAAGACTCCTGTGTAAAATATTTGGAGAAGATTTTATTGAACAATTTAAGATCAAGCGGCCTGCTGCCTGGGTTGATCTGATGATAGCGTTTGAATCACGCAAAAGGGCGGCAGCACCAGATCGGACTAATCCACTCAACATCACCCTGCCTTTCTCGTTCATTGACTACTACAAGAAATTTCGAGGACACAGTGTGGAACACGCCTTAAGGAAAAGCAAGTAAGTACTTTTAAGTTAACAGAATCCAAAGAGATTCTTGTGTTCATTGCCACACACGCGAAAAAGGAATAATCAGTCCAAGTAAGACTGAAGAAAATTCATTGCTGGCAATATGTGAAGGAGATGGCATTCTATTGTATGAAATTTACAAACTGCTTCATGGCCTGAGGCATCAAAGATTAAAAAACAAAAAAAAAAACCCAAACAAATTCTAAAACAAATTCTACAATATCTCAGGGGTCAACTTTCTTAAAACAAAAGCATCTTTGGTTGGCACCTGAACATCATGGTAGAAATAAAAAACTGACAGAAGGCAAACCAAAGCAGCCTTTTCTTCAGCATGGGTGGTCTCCCACTTACTCTCCCATTGCGTGAAGGTGTTCAATTTATCATGGCCTTAGCTAATGTAAATAAAAAATCTCATTGGTTACATAGTGAGGATGTGACATTGGAATCCTTTCATTTCCAGCTTTTTGAAACATCTTGAGTTAGTAACATTATTTTTGCTAAGTGAGCAACATTTCATTAAAAAGCATTTCTTTTAAAAGCAAACTTTCTTATCATGTCCTGTTTACAGTGTAGATTTTGTGAAGTGGTCATCACAAGGAATGTTGAGGATGAGTCCCGATGCAATGAATGCTCTCTTCAAGCCTACCATTGATGAAATCATACAACATCTCAGTAAGTATCAAGGGTGTGTTTGAATGTCTTAAGGACTTTTAAAAGACCCACTGACATGAACAGACCTAACTTAGTCAATGGGGTTACTCTGAGGAGAACTAACATTGGTGGGAAAGAATGCCAAGCGAGTAGAACTTAGTTGGATACAACATTCTAGATCTGAAGAGCACCTAGCCTACTTTGATTCCCTCACAATGTCATTCTGTGAATCATATTGGATTCCTCTCACTCCATTTAGTGAGTTTTCCTGTCATTTGTCATTCTGTTCTCTTAATACCTGCAAAGGTGTTACTGTTATTCTGACCATGTGGATTTTCCTCTCCACCAAGGTGATTTGTTTGAAAAGCCAGAAGTAACTAATGTGAAGTTCCTCTTCCTGGTGGGTGGATTTGCTGAAGCTCCGCTACTACAGCAAGCTATCCAGAATGCTTTCGGCTCCAAATGCCGAATCATTATTCCTCAGGATGTGGGGCTCACTATCCTCAAAGGAGCAGTCTTATTTGGTCTGGATCCTGCTGTCATTAAAGTGCGCCGCTCTCCCCTGACCTACGGGGTAGGAGTCCTGAATCGTTACGTGGAGGGCAAGCACCCTGCAGAAAAGCTGCTAGTTAAAGATGGCACCCGCTGGTGCACGGATGTCTTTGACAAATTCATTTCTGCTGACCAGTCGGTGGCTCTTGGGGAGACTGTGTCGCGCAGCTATACACCTGCCAAGCCTTCGCAGCTGGTCATCGTGATCAACATCTACAGCTCGGAACATGACCACGTCAGTTTCATTACTGAGCCAGGGGTGAAGAAGTGTGGCACTCTGCGCCTGGACCTCACAGGAACTGATACGACCGCGCCAAGCAGGAGGGAGATCAAAACACTAATGCAATTTGGGGACACTGAGATCAAAGCCATGGCAATTGACGTTGCCACTTCTAAAAGTGTCAAAGCTGGTATTGATTTCCTAAACTACTAATGCTCCTCCCCTGCCCCCACCCGTTAGTTCAACACTCTGTTCTCTCATTTTTCATGCGTCACCAAAATGGACTTGCATTTCAGCCAGACGGAAAAAGGAGAGAACCATTAGAAGGGAAACGTCAGGCATTTTTGTTGTTGTCGTTCTCAAAATTATCTGTTCAGGAATCTGAAATTTACATGGTTATCAGGTGCTAAACATGAAACGGAATAATCCAAAATGGCTAAATGCATTGTGAAAATTAGTCGTTGAAATATCACTGCCCTCTTGATTGGGAAAACAAATAGTTTTACTGGAAGTATTCCACATGTGCTGTATTTGGGGCCCAAAATGTCAAAGCTCATATTCATGGTCCAACGTTGAAGACCCTAATACAGCAAATGGCAAGCTGTCTCACTGACACCAACAAGTCTGCTTCGGACAGCAGGAGGTCATCACTGAAGCCCTAAATTAAAGTGGTCCTCTCAAGTGCTGCTGTTAATTGTCAGTGGAGATTTATAGGTCTTTAGCAGTTTTAAAACCAGACCTCTCTTATTTATATGCTTTAATACGAGTGCTAGAGGTGAAGTATCTAGCCTTTCTTTGTAAAATATGAAAAAACAGCACTTACCACCCAGGCAAAGTGCATTTAGTTGTTGGGGATATATGATGACTGCCTCTGGTGGCTTTTGGTTCGGTTTTAGCAAACTTCCAAGCCACAAAGCAGATTTGTTAAGGCTGCAGCCCATTTAAAGGAATCAACTAAATTTGCAAAACATTCACTAAGTATTGCAAGGAGCATACATTTCAAATTAGCAGATATGATACACAATCTCATTTTAGGACAGGCATGCCCTTTTTAGGTGAAGGGAAAAAGGATGATGTTTGCCACCTGCAGTTTGTATAAGTAGTTTGTATAAATACACATTGTATTTAAAACAATGTGTTGGATCCAGACTTTGTGATATCTAGAGCAGACCCACTGGAATCAATGGCACAGGCTAGTTGATCAAGTGCAGTGATTTCAGTGGATCTACCCGAAGTGTTAATCTAACCTGATTAATCCAGGAATAGCCCTCCAGTCTCCACCAGTCCCAGTCAGATCACCAATGGTCAGAGATGATGAGAGTTACAGTCCAACATCTGAACGGCTCTCCCTGGATTAGCCATTAACATTGCAGCCCAAATATTTGAGTATTTCTTCTTTTTTGTTCATTGGAAAGAGAAGTTTTTTAAAAGTCTCCCTTCTCAACAGTTTTTACAAATTTAAGAGCTCCCACCTCACATTTTACTTTGGGACTTTATGTGGTAGGTAGGGATTATTTTCTTTTAAAAAAAACATACTTCCAGCTAGCTGTTGGGAAGACCTCATGCAAAAGAAATGAAGGGGTATGGTGGCAGAAGCTGCCCAGAAAGCCCCTCTATTCTCAGGTTGGAGAAAGCAAGGAGCCATTTTCATTACCTCTCTCATACTTGTTAAGAAACAGGAAATATATACTGTGTTGGTCCTAGAAAGTGAGATCCAGTAAAAGAAAAGGGATACCTTTATACAGGGCCAACTTATTTCACCTATTCATGAAAGAACTATATAAAATGCTTATTGTTATTTAGAATGATTCATCAGGAAAAAAGAAAACAGGTTGTTATATCCACAACTCTATAGAGAGTAGTTAGTTACTGTACCTGTCATTCATTTGCGTACAAAATACCGTATTTTTCCCTCTGTAAGACTCTTTTCCCCTCCTAAAAAGTAAGGGGAAATGTGTGTGTGTGTTATGGAGCGAATGCAGGCTGCGCAGCTATCTCAGAAGCCAGAACAGCAAGAGGGATTGCTGCTTTCACTGCGCAGCGATCCCTCTTGCTGTTCTGGCTTCTGAGATTCAGAATTTTTTTTTCTTGTTTTCCTCCTCCAAAAACTAGGTGTGTCTTGTGGTCTGGTGCGTTTTATAGAGCGAAAAATACGGTACTTGCTTTCCCATTCTCTTCCATTGATGTAACTGTATACCCAGCCCTGAAAAACATAAGCCATGAAGTGGGCAATTTCCAGCTTTCCTCCTCACCAGCTTCTGTGATAAAGTACATCCGGAAGAAGCTTAAAATCTATTGGGGGGGGGGGGAATTGCCAGGAGATACTGTACATATAGGCAGGACAGGAAGTTCAGCTGTATTGCATTTGGCCTGCAGAGGGAGCATGAACACTGTTTCTCCAAGAAATGAGAGACTCTCCTGCCCCTGCTCCCACACAACCTAAGAAAGGAACAAGGCACATATCATGAGCACTGCCAGCTTCAAAACTCTCAAAAGCTTTAGGCAACAAACTAGATCCCTTCCCGGTGTGAATTAGAGCAGCTGAACATAAGAAATTCCCCTAACACAGAAGTTGCTTTAAACTGTGGTGTGATGTGGCTGCGGCCACCTAACAGTTTCCTGGATTCGCACATGGCCTGCAGTTCTGCATTCCTACATACCAAATGTGATTAGAGGTGGCTTGGGGAAAATATGTTTCTCTGTGCTGCAGGTCCTTCAAGACTGGCAATTTGCAGCATGGAGGCAGCTTCCATGCCATGCGGTCTAAAGCCACAATGCAGGGCTTTTGATATGTAGTCACTTCCAGATAGACTGGATTTGCAGCCAGACACCCTCAACACCGATGGAGAAGGTCAGCCATGTTTCCCCGCCCACAACATTTTGAAAACACATTGTGATCCACTGAACCCCAGTCATGCATCCAACACACCAGAACATTACCGTAATCGTGTAGTTACACCCTTTTCCAGTTAGCTATGCATGAGTGAAAAGCCATAGACCCTTTTTACTTTTAAAAACGTAAGATTATTGACCAGGCACTTATATTTTAGGGGCCATTGTGCAAATGCCTAAAAATTCAGTGAAGAATTTTAAAGGGGCCCCATTTGCATTATATCCATTATATAATTCCCTGATAGAATGTGAATAAGCTTTGCTGAATTAGCTATCACAGGGATGGACTGGATAATTCTAGTCACAGTATCTAGCTTGCTGTTCCTTAAATAATTATTCTACTGAATAATTAGAAAGTGTGCATGCTGGCTTTCCTTTCTTTTCATCCTGTCTGCTGTGTTTTAAAGGCAAACGATTTGTTTTTCTGTATGTGTAAGTGTGTGTGGCCTTCCATGGTTTACAAATAAGCAACTCCTTTGGGTGAGCTATGAACAATATTACGTGATGTATATACAATATTTAAATATTGTACAGATGCTTTCTTTCTAAAGTGCTATTTTCTTGTACAGAGTGCTCTTTACCTCTGTTGATTTGCATTCAGTGGATAATTTTAAATAACATAGTTTCACAGTCTGCTTCAGTAATTATAGGCTTTTAAAGATGGTGAGGTATGAAATGTACAGTGATGATCTTGTAATAACAGGAGGGGAGCATGAAGAGTGTCAGACAATCCCACACTCTTCTTGCTATGCAAAGAATAGCATACAGAAACACCTTTGAATTCTTTTTAACAGCCCCAGTTCCATTTGAAGTACCGTAATGCATAGGAATGACAGTGGTTAAAGTCCTTTTGTACATCAGGTCTTCTTCTCCTACCTGAAAACTAGATGATCATTTGGGGCATTTATTACCCCAAATGATCTCCAGTTACAAACCGTATGTTTTATTTCAGTGATATCTCTTTATTACTAGATTCAGGCTAAACACAGACCACCGGCCATATGGAGAGTGCAGCTTGCTGCTTGCCAGGCACTCTAAAAAATAGAGGGATTCTCAAGTACCAGAATGGCCACAAAACATGGCCGGTTCATTGCATTTGACTTGGTGATTTGCCACCCGTGCAGGCCCCTACTAGACTAGAACAGAATGCATATGTTGTCATAAGCTAGAACACCAGGGGTGGCAAGCTAGAATGGCAAAAGATCGCTTGATATTAATTGTGTTGGACTCCCTTCGGTCCGCTACATCTTCTGATAGGCAATTGCTGCCTGGAAGATACAACACAAGATCATCTTGCATGACTGCTTCCTTGCTTTGTGACATGGCTCTTCCCAGAATCCCAGTTGTCTTGGAAAAGCATTGTTTCAAGTTGTTGCATCTTCATCATACATGCAGTCAAAGGAGCAGGGGCCTGGTATAACCGAGCACCTGCCAGGGCCAAGGATCCCACCACCAGTCTTCCTAGCCCTGCTGCACTGCTTCCTTTTGCAGCTTGTCCCTGTTCACCTGCCTTCTCTGAATGAGCAATAAGCAAAAGAGCAGTAACCCTTGTAGTCTCCGGCTGGGAGGTGCTGCACTGGGTTGCATTCAACTAAAGCTGCCCTCCTCCAGATTATTCCATGTCTGTATTAGGAAGAGATTTCATTCCACAGGGACTCCTGCAAAATCCTTACCAAACACTATTAAGTCCCCACTGCTGGAAACTGCCAAGGTGGCAAGGAGGATCCAAAAAGAACATAGATAAATTGATCTCTGGTAGTGAAAATCTCTTAAGACACTATCCAGCCATTATTTCTGTAACTGTCAGTCATTTCTGATCCTTTACAGCAGCAGAATGCTATCTTTATATTCTTGCTCATTTTCTCCTTTCCATAACTGAAATAGTCTCATTTGCTTCTTTTCTCCCAGTCACAAAACATGATTAGATGGCCAGTCCTCAGATTACAGTATATATTCAAGTTGACAAATCAGTTCTTAAAATGTTAAACTCCCTTTTCATCACACAGACAAATTTTAAATGTGGAATTCTTCGGTTTTCTAGCATACGTTCAAGAAAATGTTCTCACTAAATTGTCTTTAGCCATTGCATCTATATATTTTAAAATATGGGATGTTTCCCTAATACATTGTTATTAGAAGCATGATTCCACTTTCTGTATGGAAGAACACTACAAAGTGTACTATAAAACCTCTTACGCTTTCTCTTCTGTGAACAAAAGTATGTAAAAAAATTATGTGTATTAGCATATCTGCATTAGTAGCACATTTGAATGTCTTATCAAAATAGCTGTCATTCCAGGTTAAAAGTGCTATAAACCTGCAATCCTGAGATTTCGGTCTATAAATTATCCACAAAATTATCATACCAAACTTTTTAAGTTTTCCATCCTGTTCCCTAAACTTCTACAGGGATATTATTTCACTTGGATAGTAAGATAATTGTATTAATCTAGGTGAGCTAAATTTTGCATAGCAATACAGCGGTTTACAAGAAAGAACTTCTTTCGGATGGAGGTATGTGAGTGATCTGATTAATTCCCCTGATGTAATTTGCTCAGTGTGCTTGCAGCCAATGAAGGGAGATAACTCTTGGATGGCAGCAGCTCCTTAGAAATACATCATGCAGCAAACCAACCTCTTAAGGCTGTATTCTTGCCCATCTGAATCCCTCTGAAGTACATGAAACTAAGGCAACTGCAAATATGTTGGCTGAAGTACTGTTTGGGCTACTGAACTGGCTGTTATGTGTACTGAATATTTAAATATAATCAGACTTCAGTAACTAGTTTTTAAAACTCTGCTATAGCACTGTTGCTATTATTGTGAGATTTATAATTTTTAAAAAAGCTTATTTCCCCCACCCCATCTTCATCAGCACCCCAAAAGCGGTATAATTTTGCTGGGCATGCTCTCTGCCACTTAGAATCCATCCCTATTCTCCCAAATAATAGCAAATTAGGTTTGGTGTCTAAGGGAACCTTTTAGAAATAGAATGTGATGCTATACCTACAGGCTTTTGTATGAGCCCTATGCTAAATTTAAAGGAAGTGGCACATGAATGTTCACTTGTAAGTACCGTAGAAACTGGTAAAGTGATAGATGTTTGCCAGATGAGAGTAAGAAACACAATTTTCCATGTGTTTTCTGCTGCAGGGTTGGTTGGTTGTTGTTTACAGATCTTGATCAATAGAAATTTAAGGGAAAGGTTCTGCTCTGTGCCATATTACAGAGACCCAAACTTTTCCCCTGACAGCAAAGCTTGCTTTGCTTTCTGTGGAAGTTTCCATCTGAACCCTATCTTGGAAAACCAAAGCAACTTACCATAAACCTGGAAATTAAAAATGATGGCAGAGTTTATGAAATACTGTGAGCTGGATGCGGATTAAGTTGAATTTAGTTCCCATTGAAATAAGTGACATGATTTAAGTCATGACAAATGTTTCATATTGATTTCAAAAGGAACTAAATTCAACTAAGTGCAATACTATACATGTTTACTCAGAAGTAGGCCCTGTTGAGTTGCCAGGTAAGTTGGTATAGGATTTTTGTCTTAAACTGGATCCATCCCAGTGCTATTAAAGAAACCTCAACCAATGCTCTAGGCACCTTGCAGTAATCCAAATAAAAAAGCGCTGAAATATATTATTAAAAGATTTAATTTTCTTGCAGTGATGTAACTGCAGTAGCAAAACTGCATTATTTACACACTTTAAAATCCACAGCACATTGTGTAAAGGTTGTTGGGCATAATGCTACAATATTCATCTCTGCTTTGATAATTCATCAAATATATTGTAAAAAAATAAATAAACATCCGATCATTGTAATCTCATTCATTTTCTTCCCTGTGCAAGACTACAAACCTCACTTAAAGTCCTGGAGCAGATCACAGCTTTTCACTGTTGCATCTCCTGAATACTGTGCTCTTCAAAAAGTGTCAAATAAAACACAGTAAACTGTGAGGGAATATGTCTTCTGCTGATTATTTATGGCTCCTGTCTTAAAAGTTATTTCTAACATGATGCACCATCCAGCAGAAAGGAAGGCCTCTTGTACAGATGATCCTAGTCCTGTGCATTGCAGCTACGCTCCGGAAGCCTCTCTGTTCCCTGCACATGTTGTAAAGGTCGTGTGGATGAGGTCACAATGCCATGGGAGGGACGGGGCACTGTAGCTTGAGCTCTCTTGTAAAGGGTCGTAAGGAAGCAGCCAGCTTGGGGGATGGTATTGCTCGCAGAGCTTGTCATGGTAAAAGGCCCAGTCCCGGCTTCCTGAGCGAATTGTTCGTTTGAGGGATCTCTCCTGTACAGGTCAGTCTTTCCAGGGCTGCTACATTTTCTTCTCTTTCTTGTCAGTAGCTGACCATTGTTTGCTGCCTCTCTCGCTACACCCTTTGTCTTTAGCCCTCATGCGTCTTCATTTGTTATTGCCAATCTCAATACTGTTATTTTCGCCGTCGTCCCCCGCCTATCTCCTTTGTGCTTTGAGGACATGAAACATTGCAGCAGCAGGAGCCAGTGGCGCTAGTAAGGTAACGCAAGGCTGCTGGATCCTTTCCGCAGGATATGTTCCTGTGGCACCCAGGAACATAAATAGCTTTTTAAAGGATTACACAATTTCATTGCTATCGCTATCAACAGCATAGGAACAGCCTATCAAATCCCCAAATGAAACCTTCATGTTCAGAGGCACTGTATCCCTGATCACCAAATACTTGGGAGAAACCAGAAGGCAAGCTTGGGTCTAACTCGCAGCTTGTGAGCTTCCCAGATGCTGGTTGCTGTTTGTAACAGAATAATAGGCCCTTGTTCTCATTTGGAGAATGCAAATGCAGCAATCCCAACAAGCCCCATTGAACTCCATATTCTTACTGACTGGGCAAGTGCAGGATAACTAGAGTTGCACTGGAAATGAAGTCTAAAGAGTTCTGAGTCTGCCTGGATGACTTGCTGGCCATAGTTTGTTCATGTGCAGAGAGGTGATGGTTCTTTCCTAATGTTTTAACACAGAGAAATGGATGACTGCTCATAGCAGGGGTGGCTCCCTTGCGGTCCTCTAGCTGCTGCCAAGTTATAGTTTCCACCAGCCCCAGGCAGCATGGCTGATGGGTAGGTCTGGGAACTGTACTTCTGCAACCTCTAACTTAAAGGTTCTGACAACCTGAAACACCAATATGTTTTGATTGGGATAATTCTTGAACAACAGGCTTATTAATATCAGAGTCTAGATTCAGTTGAAAGTCTTTAACTTTCTTTCATCAGAGTTTGAAAAAGCATGGAACCATTTCAGCGACAAGTAGATGAATGCAACCCTTTGATACCAGGATATACAGGTAAAAAAACTGAGAGTCTTGGCCTGAGCTTTGTTCCCATTTCTCAGCTGATAACTCGGCAGAGAGCAAAATAACATGCTAAAAGGGGCAGCCAAATAATCACAGCTTTTCACATCGGCTCCCACTTTGTTTTGATGCACTTTGTACTCAATATAGCAGTAATAAACAGGATTATGATTTTAGTAGCCTCTTAAAGCTATCTATTTGCTATTGTATGCTGTGAGGCAGGCACAGGCAACCTTCGGCCCTCCAGATGTTTTGGACAACAATTCCCACCATCCCTGACCACCGGTCCTGTTAGCTAGGGATCATGGGAGTTGTAGGCCAAAACATCTGGAGGGCCAAACGTTGCCTATGCCTGCTGTGAGGATTGACCCAGCACCCTAGTCTTGCCTGATGAATGAGGGAAAACACCTTTCAATCTCAGGCTCTCTCCCTTGGGTTGCTGGGCTACAACTCCCATCATCCCTGACCACTGACGTCCATCACTAGCAGAGTGATAGGATGAGCCCCAAATGCAGAACAGTATTATTGGTTAAATAGGTCCCTTCATAAGGCTGCTGAGTCTAGAGTCTACAACTACCTAACTGCACCACAGATTTCATGCTCCACTCCCTACGTTATACTGAGACACCAAAACACAAGCACATACCTAGCTCTCTTTCTGAAGATCTGGATAGCAATTTTATACTGGCAAATTAGGCTCTCTTCTGCACTCAGTATTTTTTAGAGTGTGTTACCTGCAGGGTGTGTGTGTGTGTGTGTGTGTGTGTGTGTGTGTGAGAGAGAGAGAGAGAGAGAGAGAGAGAGAGAGAGAGAGAAGTATGTTGCTGCAGAAATGCCTCTGTGTGATAATGAGAACTAGAATGTTGATATGAATTCTCTGAATTCTCAGGGTACAACTTTGAGGGTGGTGGTAGTACTTTGATTCCATAACTAAGTTATTGAAAATTCTTATTATGAATTCTGCTGAGTTACCTGACATTACCTGACATTCTGCTGACTGACATTATACAATACCTTAAATAAAAATTAAAAAACCAGAAAGCATAACTAAATAAAATAGACAGCTACAGTGGGCACACCTGCAAAATCTTGCTAATACATGCTCTATTCTAACATTTTTTATTAATAATCTACAAATGACACTGGCTGTTTTGGCAAACTAAATGTTGAGACTCAGACATCTGCTAAATTTCTAGTTGCTTGGGTATAAATCTCAGTGGTTGGTTGTGTGACAGCAGGCTTTGAAATGCTAGGAGGGTGACGGAAAGCTGATGTTCACTTTCTTGTGAAGAATTCCAACACTCATACCTACCCTCTGACTAGAAGCCTGGGAATCAACAGCACCCAGTTTTGCAGGCATCAGACACTAAATCAGTATGCACGGCAGCTGCAAAACTTTGTGTCTGGAAACACCCAAATTTCATATTGTGCAAATGAATCAAATGGCAACAAATGTCACAGTGACAAGCTGGCGATGGGCAGGTAAGGATGATCACTCTGAAAGGGGCTGGAGCTGAAAGCCCATGTATGTGACCCACCAGATCATCCTTTTGACACATTTACTATGAATGCAACAGAATGTTAAGTTGGCTCCCACCATGGACTGTACGAAACCTGTATACACAAATAATGAGTAAACAGTGGGATTATCCTTATGATAGTCCTGGGGCTGCAGACACACACAAGAAGTTTTGTTGAAGGAAAGCCTAGACTAGTCCGCTGATGGCTTCTTCATGATGGTTGTGAACTTCTGTTGCCCTTTCCAGGCTACATACCTTATAGATTCTACCGAATTGGAACTAGCTTCGGAAACGATTCTGTGTGGTGTGTGAATGCGTTTCGTGAGGCTACTCAGAGAAAATGTGACCAAATGGAAGAACTGAGGCTCACAGCGGCTACAGCACCCCAGCTGCCACCTCTTTGCTCGAATGAAGAAATAATAAACGTACTTGATGACTATAATAGCAAACACCATCCAAATGTGCTGGGTATAGTATGCCTCATATCTAATTAATTTGGGCTTAGGATTCCTAAAATACCTTCTCCCCCTTCATATCCCCAGCTGATCTGTGTTCTCTGCAGGAGAGGGCAGCCTGCAGGTATTGTCTTGCCAGGAGGCCTGTTCCACTATGATACAGTTATTGCAGATGCAGCTCTTGATCCCAAGTTTCTGCAGAGTAGCAGAGTCCATGTTGTTTTCACATCCACCCCATACCTTTAGAGAACATCATGGCTTTCCCCCAAAGAATCCTCAAAACTATAGTTGACCCGTTACAGCTACAATTCCCAGTGCCCTTAACAAACTACAGTTCCTAGGATTCTTTGAAGGGGAGCCATGCACTTTGAATGTGCTGTAAGCATATGGTGTGGAGAGGAGGTGGGTCAGAGACAAGCTACCACTCTAGAAAACTCATTGCACCAGTGGCGTAGCGTGGGGGGTGCAGGGGGGGCCGGCCGCACCGGGCGCAACATCTGGGGTTAGGGCAAATCCACGGGTTAGGGGGCGCAAATTACTTGCCTTGCCCCGGGTGCTGACAACCCACGCTACGCCACTGCATTGCACGTAACACCCTTAGAGTCACTGTCATATGTGGCAGGCTTGAATATTTAAGGCCAGACTCAGGGGGGCGGGGGGTGGTTGCTGCAAGCTTGGTGGCTGGTTTGCTAGACTGAGTTAAAGTGTATGGTTCCCATTCAAGAGGAAGCCTCCTTTTTTCATGATGCTTGCCCTCTGAGGAGATAAAGGTAAAGGTAAAGGTACCCCTGCCCGTACGGGCCAGTCTTGACAGACTCTAGGGTTGTGCGCCCATCTCACTCAAGAGGCCGAGGGCCAGCGCTGTCCGGAGACACTTCCGGGTTACGTGGCCAGCGTGACAAAGCTGCATCTGGTGAGCCAGCGCAGCACACGGAAACGCCGTTTACCTTCCCGCCAGTAAGCGGTCCCTATTTATCTACTTGCACCCGGGGGTGCTTTCGAACTGCTAGGTTGGCAGGCACTGGGACCGAGCAACGGGAGCGCACCCCGCCGCGGGGATTCGAACCGCCGACCTTTCGATTGGCAAGTCCTAGGCGCTGAGGCTTTTACCCACAGCACAGCGTTACAAAGGGAGCAGATGTCATGTTAGCAGTGAGCTAGCTTAGGGCATGCAACTGAAAGGAAGAAAAAAAGGAAGAAAAAAGAAGCTTGGCTTGGCATGTTATGTACACATTGCTGATCTACAGGTGAAATTTAGTTCCAAATGAAACCTTCCACCCACCCTGATAAGCATACTTATCCACCATGTTTGCCTGCTTCAACATTTTCACGAACAGGCTCTGTTCAAGGTGCTATACAAGGCGCTGTGCAGTTTGGGACCAGGATTCCTAAAATACCTCCTCCCCCTTCATATTCCCAGCCGATCTGTGTTCTCTGCAGGAAAGGGCATCCTGCAGGTATTGTCTTGCCAGGAGGCCTATGCCATACAAAGTTGGTCTCTTCCACACCTGCCTTTTGGAAGTCTCACTGGCTACATATGAGACAGGCGCCATCTCTTCCATCTTCTTGTTGTCTGTTGAAGACTTTCATCTTTAACAAGCCTTCTAAGCCGAGATCTTTTTTATCCTAGTCTGTATCTGTGTTGGATTTGAAATTGTATTTATATATGTAACTTAAAAAACCCCACAAATACACACATACACAGAGTCTTGTGAAATTGCTTCACAATGCTTCATAAGAAATGCTTCATGACTGAAATTAATTAATTAATAACAACAGACCCAGGGCATCATCTTTAACCCTAACCTGAAACATGAGCACCACCGTTAATGCTTTAGCGATTCCATCTCTGTCTCTCAAAAGAAACCCGCAAACTGGTGGTTGTGCCACTGATGTAACCTGACCTTAGATCAGGGCATGTTCCACTTGTGGCTATACCACTATACTCTTTTGTTCCTGTGCCTGACTAGCCCACATCCAGGTCTGGAAACAAACTTTCCTTCTTGACTCTGTTTCCTAACTCCCTCCAACGTGGTGTAACAGAGATAAGTCTGAGCTTTCAGCTTTCTGCCATAGGACAGATTTCCATCTTCATTCCTGTAACTTTGTAAGCAGTTTCAGTCGATTGAGCAGTGGAGTAAAAGTTCTGTTGGATGTGAGTCATCGCACACACAAAAAGCTGTCTGCGAATGTTTTCTCTTTTCTTCTTTTTAACAGAATGTGGAAACTTTTAGGCAGTTTTTCATTTTCTTTTAAAGCAAAACACTGACCTTTGTTCCTCTGCTGTCATGCACAGATGACAAATTCTAGTAGCAAAAGCATTTTTGCTTTGCCATAGGGGGAGCTCCCGGCAGTGATCCACATGTGGCCTGAACGTTGCATGGGAAGGCAGAGGAGATCTTAAGTCTGTTTTGATGAATTGTGGTGGTTAAGGGGGTAATGACGGTTCCCTCTTTGAGAAAAGTACCAGTCACTTTCTCCAGGTCTTTTGAGAGAGAGAAACTCTATCTTTGCAACTAGCAGCACTAAACCATGACAAAGGGCTCTAAGAGCTTTGTTATTACAGATGAAGAGCAACATAAATTGCTTTCTGTCTTGAGTTTTTTATCTACAGCTACATGGACCTGCCCCGTGACCTCTAAAGCTCAGCTGGAGAAATAGAAAGGAAGCAACGTGCATTCTGAGTTATTTCTTCCAAAAGGGAGGCTTCAGACTTGTAGAAACCTAATATGCAAGTTCCATAAGACTTGCAACAAAATATTGCAGTGTGATTTACTCCCATTCAGGATGTTCCATTCCATTCACCTTCTCACCTGCTTTTCTGTCCCCCCACATTGACCACAGCAGTTGGTCAGCTGTCCATGGCCACTGAGCATGCTCAGTCTTCATTGGGCTGTTTGGGGTCCCCCCCCCCAAATTATGTTTGTACTTTTGCAAAATTTGGTCCTTCAAAGCCTCCTGGCACCTTCATGTTGTACATGGGTCATGGTATTTTGGCTGTGCTTGAATAATTTAGATTGCTATTAGTATATATGATTATCTAGCAAATTTGCCATAACACAGACTGATACCCATGGTTTTACTTACTACCTAACACAGTGGAATTTGCTTTAGGCTCTACTCTTGCTGGAGTGTAGCCAGCACTGGGTGCCTCTACATACGTAAATGGAGAACTAACAGTGCTTGCAACCTCTAGCTTTGAACCTTCCTTAGGACTTCTTCAGTGGTCTTCTCTCAGGATATTCGGATTCTTGATCCGACCCATGAGCTATATAAAACCGTTATTTCTCTTTCTCACTGATGGGAATTATATACAACTCTTTTCCACTTAGACCCTTCCTCTTGAAACTGGAATGTTTTAAAGAGCACCTGTCTTTCTTCCTGTAGTAAATTCTTTGCAGTGGTTGGCTGACGGTGCAGTAATACAAGGTTTCACAGATTTGAGGCTTGTCAGATCTACTTCATGTTTTTGTAGAACCCCAAGATCTACCAACCAGATTCAGGCGGAAGAGACATGGTGCTAGTTAAAGAACATGGTGTTAATACAATGGACCTCATTTGTGTTGTGCTCCTCACTCTGTGTAGGGTTATTTTTAGCATCAGTAAGCTTTCAATTAATGCCCCATTTCATCACTTTATATTTGGTCTTTGGTAAGTTCTACATAATTGCATACAGAGCTTGTGTTTCTTTATCTGTATTCCTTTGTGTTGTGTTTTGCCCATTTCATCACTTTGCAGGGCCTGTGGAAACAAAAAGGAGTCTACTTGAGCCACCTATTCCAGGCTGGACTGGCTTTGTGCCCAGGTCGAAGGTTACAGAGTTTGGTCACGGAGCTCGCTACCATGTGATGGCAGAAAATTGCTATCGAGATTTTCAGAACTCCTTGGACAGAGCCAAACAGGATCCTGCTACCAAGGAGTCCATGTATGTTGGCATAAAGATCTTTCACTGAGCTATGCTGCAGCCGAGAAATCATGTGGATATAATATTACATAATGTTACTCATTCATCTATTCTCAACCATTGTGCTATTTTTATATCTTTTCCTCCTGTGATTTTATATTATTGTTAAACACCTTGATCATTTTGCATGAACAGCTGTTAGCATGATAAGACAAGATCTTTGTCACTGTGAATCCTACAAGACCTGTCTCTCAGGATGATGAGAAACTATCAGGGTGGAAATTGTTTAGGGGTTTTTGTTGGAGATGCTTAATTTGTGGTTATATTTTTGTAATTGTGTATAACTTTTGATGTTGTGAGTCACAACCTAGGCCATGTGATGAGTGGCAGGACTGGGGGCCCCAGGCGCTCAGCAGGGGAGTCTTCCTGGGTAGCAGCAGCAGCAGCAGTTCTTATATGGCCAAAAGTGGGACATTCCAGGATCAAATCAGAAACCAGGATGGCTTCTCTAAATCAGGGATGCCCCTGGAAAATAGGGACACTTGGAGGGTCTGGACTTGTCTTAGCCATATAAAAACCAGAGACATTCTGCCTTCCCAGAAGCATTTGATAAGACTATCACATGCACTGTTTCAGTCATATGCAAAGTTGCACATAATATGTTGTTACAGTCAAGAAAGTTGGAGAATGGCAAGCACCAAAACATCATTTATTTTATTTATTTTGTAGGAAAGAGATCCCTGCAACCAAACTCAAAGAATCACGCCCATACCAGAGATTCTACAGGCCGGAAGGGATGATGCCCAAGTATACTGGGCATATTCCACGTAAGACTTTAGGATTGCATTATTTGAAACTGGCCACTTGCTATGGGCCTGTTCACAAGACCATGTTCACCTGTCTCAACTCTTGGACTGGAGAAGAAGAGAGTCAGCACCAAAAAAAAAAGCTGGTGCATGGTGATGAGAGGGGTATTGCTTGAATTGTTTTGGTCCTCAGAGGAAAAGGGTCTTTATGTGCCTTGCTTGGGCATGTGAGTTAAAATAACTCAGTCAAAGGTTATTATGCTTTCTACTATATCTTCATTGAGTTGATTGAACAGGTGTTCTGAAGCAGGGCACACAAGAGCCCCTTTGCCTCCAAGGAATACCTTGTTAGTCTTGTAGAAGTCAGTTGGCCCATATCCTGTTATACTGGGCCCACCATCTGTTGATGATACTACACCACACTTTGACCACTATGATCAGCAGGGTATGCAAGGCTCCAGCAAAGCCATCTAGCCACCCTGCTTTCCAGGCCTTTCCAGAGCTCCTGGTTAAGAAAACTCCTTTCCCATAAAGTTCAGTTCAAAGTATATCGTGTTTATTGCCTCATGATCCCTGTGTGTGCGCACATGGGTTGTGCCCCCTCAAAATTGTGCACCCACGGTTATGGGCCCTGCTGCCTCCCACATTATCTCCCTGCAAGTACTCACCCAAGGATGGGAGTCCCACCAATCTGAGCCTCTCCATAAACTGCAATGAACATTTAGACCCCTTGACTGTACTTGTCACATGGCTTTAGGCATTGAAATAGGCCTTTTTGTCTTGTAGATGAACGTTCTGGCATCGGAAAGACCTTTGGTAATGTGAGCAGAAGCTGTTCTGTCTGCAATCACCCGGAAGTGAGCTATGGCATTTATCTTGATAAGAAACGGAAGGCTGTAAAGTTTCAAGAACCGATCAAAGAAGAAAAGATCCCCTTAACTGCAGCAAACAATTAAAAATATACAGAAATACCTGAGATTATATGTGAATAATACTATCATGTTGTTTGTTTAACCACTTGGTATGAAATAACATTATTTACATTTTAAAATATCAAGTTGTTAGACAGATGATTATGGTTTTGAAACTGACCTTAAAAAAATCTACAACAGTATTTCTGCCTAGAGCACATCTGGATCACAGCTGCAGCATCAGTTACTGCTCTAGCTGTTGACTTCACACCCTATATCTTATATATTTGAGCTGGCACAGAGATATTGAGACTGTGTGGAAGGTCATTCAGATGCTAAGATGCATAGTTTAAAACTCTTTGAACTAAAACATAGTAAGACGTTCAACTAGTTTCCTATCCTGGTATTGCCATGCAGCTGTCAGTTTCCCATAGTATGAGAGCCTGTCCAGATGTGGGTGATGACTCAAGCCATGAGCTGCACATCTCTTGACTCAGTGCCACCATGGAGTTTGCCTGGTTTGACCTTTGCATCTGGAAGTGACATCAGTCACAGCTGTAGGTGGACTGCAGACTGAGCCAGAAAAGGAGCAGACAGTTTGCCTTGAGTAGGGCTACTGCTTACTGCTGCCTACAAAAGCGACTGAAAGGATCATAAGGCAGAGGACTGAGTGAATGACAGGATGCATCCTTCACAGGTTGACAGAAGTGGTGATTCAGGCCAGTTCAGTGGCCCACCACAAATATGTAAAGGGAGGGCTGTAGTTTATTTAGAGCATTTGTACCCCACTCTTCAGCCAAAAAGTCACCCAGAGTGGCTAACATACAATCAGTTAGAACAAAACAATCCCTGCCTGCAGATTTATAATCTCTCTCTCTATAAAGAAAAGTTACACACAAGGAGAAAAGAACAGGGAAGGAAGATGAAAAAATAAAACTCAGGCACCAATTCTTAAGCAGCTGGCACAGTTCAGGTGTAGATGGTGCGTGATACAGCTGGCGTGGTAGAACACTTGTTTTGAATGCAGGGGAGTTTCTGGTTCAATCTCCAGCATCTCCAGCATCTCCAGATAAGGCTGACAAACGCTCCTGCCTGAAATTATGGAGAACTGCTACCAGTCAGTGCTTGGGAAATGCTGCGTTCTAACAACAGAAGGGGCAGCTAGTGACATTTGGGTTCCCTGCAACAATGGTACAAAGAAACAGGCATCTGAAAGAGTTGTTCTGGTGGGTTTCTGAGGCACATTTAGAATATGTACAGTGGTGCCTCGCAAGACGAAATTAATTCGTTCCGCGAGTTTTTTCGTCTTGCGATTTTTTCGTCTTGCGAAGCACGGTTTCGGAAAAGTTTTGGAAAAGCTTCAAAAATCACCAAAGTCTTCAAAAACCTCAAAAAAGGCTACCACACCGCGTGCTATGAGTTGCTCCTCGAAGTCAAGTCGCAACTGTATTAACGGTTTTAAGAAAAAGGAAACAAACTTGCAAGACGTTTCCATCTTGCGAAGCAAGCCCATAGGGAAATTCGTCTTGCGAAGCAACTCAAAAAACCAAAAACCCTTTCGTCTTGCGAGTTTTCCGTCTTGCGAGGCATTCGTCTTGCGAGGTACCACTGTAGATTTGCTTTCAGTGCATTTTTCAAAATTACCTTGGGGGAGTTTTTCAGATTTCCTATCGCAACTGAGGTACATTTATTTTCACCTTCTTTTTCGCTAGAGTATTCCTTTGCTTGCATCTGTTTAGTTAATGGAGCAGCCCCCCATTTATTTTATCTAAAATCTGAAGGAAACGTTTTGAGTTCAGCTCTCTTTAATCTGTCCCGTAATATCTGAAGGGTTTGTGTGTATCTGCAGTACTTGATTTTGTAGGAGGTGTGTTAATTTAATTACACTGATTGTTGGTGTAGCAGTGTGTGTGAGGGTGTTATATAGTACCTTGCTGAGCATTTAAGTTCTAAATCTTTGACTTAATCTCTTAACCTTTAGACTTTGATTTTCTTCCTCAGCCTATAATTTGTACAGCCTGCCATCAGAAGAGGGAGGTAAATTAGACGGCATCTGCTATATTACAAATTATAATCATCAACATTACTTCCATTAGAAGCTAGCTCTTAAAATTCCTTCTTGGTGGAATAGTGCAACTCCAGTAAAGCCATGTATGTGGAAATGGCATAGGCCACCAAAGCAGCTGAACTAATAGGAAGAGATTATTCAGGTACACAGAAATAGCAATGGAATATCCCATCCTGGACTTTACCTCTTGAGGCTGAAAGCTTGGGGTTTTGAACATACGAACCTGCCCATTTGGTGGGGGAACTGGAGAGGGCCTCCCCAGTAGCTGCTCCCAAACTTTGGAACTCTCTAGTGCGGCTCGATTGGCTCCCTCTTTGTTTTCCTTCCACTGGCAGGAAGTTTTATTCCGGCAGGCCTTTGGGAACTGACTGCTTTTGAGGAAAGGGCTTTAAATGGTGCTGCTTTTAGTGCTTTTACTATCTGTAGTTTAATAGATTTAGTTGTTGTTGTTGTTGTTTTTACATTGTTTTAATTCCATTATAGCTTAGTTACTTTTAAACTATTATCTTCTGTATTTTTTTTAGCCTTCTGTGATTGTTTTAATTTTTGTAAGCTGCCTTGAGTCCTGATTCTGGGGGAAAGGTGGAGTGTAAATAAATAAAATAATGATAATACTTCTGAATCTTTTTTTTTTTTTAAGAGAGAGAGATTGAAAGATTACAGATTTAGGGTTGCCTAGCTATCAGAAGGCTAATCCTAAAAGTATCTTCCATGTGCAGGAAAATATCAGACATTGGCTTTTGTAGCTTTGGATAGAGAAGGGCTGTACCGCAGTGGTAGAGAAGAAAATAACCTTATACTGCAAACAGCCCATTCAGATTTAAGTCTTCTGTGTGCGCCTTCAGCAAAGTAGCTTCCACATTTTCCCATTCCCCCAGTCCTGATATTCATTGCTATTCCACCACTTCCCATCTGCACTGCTGGGCAGAGCTTGAGTGCAGGTATCTGAGCTGTGTTTGTCTCCCCAGTCACCCCTTCACTCGGCTCTCCACTATATTTTTTCATGCTGGGCATTTCTATACCCGTGCACCTACACCTTTTGAAAAAAATGAAAACACCACCAGCCACCAAAATGTCTCCACAAATTGCCCACCCTCCCTGAAAAATACCTTACAATACAATGTAAATGAAATAAAGTTTAGTTGCATAGGAATACTTACAACATACCAGATTATCAATCTATACTAGGATGTTATCACACTGTTCCTTCTGTAACCACAGTGGCAATGTTTTCAGATGTTAATAGTGAAAGCTACATTTTGAAGTCTGAACTGTACTAATAAGCCTCACCAGCTTTTCAAATCAAATGCCTCTTAATTGATACAATGCTGATCAAATCTTGGAACATGTTCCCTTTTAACGTTCAAATCAAAAACTTTGCTGTGAATAACACAATATTAAAGTGAAGAAAGACCAATCTGCCTGGTACATATTTTGAACATGTTTTGTTGCAAATAGCATTCTAACAGATAGGGCTGATTATATGGTAAAGAGCATAATTTAGATATCACAAGCAGTGGGGGCTTTTGTCACTGACATAGCTAAGGAATTTGACACCTTTACAAGAGAACAATACATGTCAACCAAAATATATACCAATTAGACCTCAATGAGACACTGAAATGAATGATGCAGGAACATGTTGTATTTACAAATAATATATGGTTAACAGCCACTTGCATTTTCAAACAACAAATCTTTTTGTGTTATTTGGGGGGGGGGTGGGAATAAGCATTTGGAAATGGTCACAAAAATATCTCCATTAGCACTGAAAGCTGCGGAAATGGACAGTAATTTGATGTTCATTTAACTTTGCATTTTATGTGATAGCTTTCCAAAGTGTTTGTTTAAACACTACTCAACAAAGTGAATGCTGTTGCACTTCATTATTAAAAGAGGACATTTGGTAACCCATAGTTAACGGTGAATACATTGATGTTAGGAGCAATTGCAGCAGAGGACTTAAATATGGGGCGGGAAGAGGAGGTTTTCTATGGAGGATCTGGAAATAGAGAGGAGAAGAGAACACACTTTCGACCCCACTCTGCTCCCAGTGCTACCCATGTCCAAGAAATGTTTGTAAAATTATACACTTTGCAAAAGTGGCTACACCAAAGGTGAGACTGATGCTTGAAATCCACATAATGTCACCAGGTGTGTTTTTCTTTTTCTCCCAGGTTCTCCTGTGTTAACAAGTTACAATATAACCCTATACAGTGGTACCTCGGGTTAAGAATTTAATTTGTTCTGGAGGTCCGTTCTTAACCTGAAACTATTCTTAACCTGAGGTACCACTTCAGCTAATGGGGCCTCCTGCTGCTGTCGCACCCTGCCGCGCAATTTCTGTTCTCATCCTGAAGCAAAGTTCTTAACCCGAGGTACTATTTCTGGGTTAGCGGAGTCTGTAACCTGAAGTGTCTGTAACCTGAAGTGTCTGTAACCTGAAGCGTCTGTAACCCGAGGCACCACTGTACAGTACATGTCTACTCACAAATCTGCAGGACTTATTTCCAGACAAATCTGTGGGATTGCAGCCTTAAATGAGAAGCACAAATTTAGCTTTTTCCATGAAAATGTTTTGGTGGGGAAAGAAAGATCACCTATCAAATTTCTTCTTACTACAAGGGTAAAATAAAGGCATAGGAGCCAAGTTCATGAAAACTAGCAGCGCGAATAATGCTGGGTGTTTTCTAAATATGAAATCCATTTCACTATTACAGTATAGGCAAATGTAACGCTTGCTTGAGTTTAAATGAATTAGCAAAGGCAAAAGATGTTTCACCTTCCTTAGGAGGAGTAAAAATGACTCTCTAATAGAGTCAGCAATCTTTGTAGTCCAGAATGCGATGCAGATTTCCCAGAGGTGGAAATGTGGGCTTAAATATTTTCTAAGGCTTGTTCACCCATTTCACTAATTGCCTCTACTACACATGTACATATATGTTTGTGTGCATATGTGTGTACACTTGATTTGTACAGCTCAACTATTATTCCTACTGTACAGTGTGGTTTTTGTTTTCAAAGTGGATGTGCTCTACAAGAGCACCATTTAGCTACTGCCTATGTATCACATTGCACCCACTTTCTTTGTTGTTCTTTGGGAGCATGTACTCTTACGGCATAAAGGAAGTAATCTACGCAAAGTGAGACAGCCTGGAAGTGCCTGGGGAACTCCCATAGGCAAATCTATAATTTGGCAGATCAGGTGGATTAACCTATTAAACCAGATAACCACATGAACAAGAGCATTTGTCATAGCACTGGTATATTAATTGAACCAGAGTGTACAGTACTTGCCTGAAGCACCAAAACTCCTCTCTGATGTAACAGTGGAATCCTATGTATTATTGAGACATTCAGATGTACTGCTGAACTCAGTGGGAGCTATTCCCAGTTAAGTGTGTGTAGAATGGCAGCCTAAAATACATGCATTTGTAGCTTGCCTTGCTCTGCTTACAGGTGTGAATTAGCTACTTTTGCATTTTTTGACTGGTGTTATATTGTATATCTCAAAACCTTGTCTAAACCTATCATGAGTTCTTTGTTCTCACCAGACCCATTTTATACATCTTTGTTTCTATAAAACAACAATTGTCTGTATCAAACTCTGTGGGGAAGATGATTTTCTAAATTAAGTGGCTTTCTCTCCAGTGTGAATAATCGACGCTTCTTGGGATATTAAAAGTCCATTTTCAAGGCATACACAGATAATTACATCCCGATCAAAGGAGCTCTTGCTAACACTTTATGCTTAGCTGAGATGTGTGTGTGAGAGAGAAAACAATGAACAGTTTAACAGAGTCATGGTTTTTTTTTTTTTTTTTGCATATTCATAATTGAACCACTATATTCTGCAACTAGATTGTTAAACACAACGAAATAACTTCCTCACATACTCATGAACAGCTATTCTATAGCTCTATAGGTACATAATGATGGCTGGCCTGGAAAGCTAAAAGTGACAAGAGCCTAGCATTGGATGAAAACAATCACAAAATTCCCATAAATTTTTTTGAGGGGGGCAGAATTTTTTTTAAAAAAAAATAGCCCTGGGGTTCTCTTCCTCTCAATCAATTTTTGGCTTTGTGGCTGAATATCCCTCTTGGCTGTCTTAAAAGCTTTGCAGTCCAATCCAGTCCTTCCCCAATCCTTAGCTTGGGTGGAGAGAGAGTCCTGTATGTGAAGGGGAGATGTACAGCAAGAGACTGTTTTATGCCATTGATTTGGTGCCATCTGCAGCTTTGATTAACATACATTCTACTCTTTCATTCAAGCCATTTATAAAGATATTGAGCAATGCAGTACCCAAGACCAAACCCCAAGGCACCCTCCTTGCTTCTTCTCTCCAGGTTGACAAGTTGCTGTTGATGAACGCTCTTTAGGTACAGTCCATCAACCTGCTTGTCCATTTCCACTGCATTTCTTTCAATGGGATGTGTATTTGGATGCAAGTAGTTAAGCTTAACCGGTGCTTTTCTTCTGTGTGTACTCAAAGGTACGCAGTACCGGCACCTTGATTTTCTAGAAGAAAAGCACTGGTTAAAAGTGTGACAATTACTGTAACAACTTCATGGTGAGTACTGGAAACTTTTTTCCTTGAAGAAAAGCACTGAGCTTAACTATATTCTGTAGTATGCTGGATTAAAGGCCGGTAAGCAGTGCATATACAGGTTCTCAACCTGCAAAGGATGCTCTATTCATATTGATAGGGATAACACACATATATTTGCATTTTATGCAAAGGGATCTGTGCCATCCATTACAATTAATTTGGCACTTCATATATTCACGAGGGCATGAGGCTGGAATGTGCCTCCTCTAGGCAAACATTCCCCTGCAGTTTTGCTGCTGTGGACTATTGCATCTTAGTATGCCTATGTTTGGGTCTTTTAAATGGAAAAGGCAACATTTTCTTTTTGATAATAGTCATCTCTTTCACATTCTAGTACAGAAAAATTATCACATAAAATACATAATACAAAAGCAGTTAACAGCCAAATGTCCTAGAAAGTGGACTGCGGAGGATTATGACTTTTTATTAAGATTTGCATAAAAGCTTTTGCTATTTTTTCTTGTTATTCAGCACGGTGTAAGTGTTTGCAGAACATCTTCTCTCACTGTGTCACTACCACAGAAATTGTATCTGAGGATTAAAAAACACATATATATTCATTAGTTTAAAAGTGTTAATGTTTCATTTTTATTGCAAGTCCGTTTTAGTAGAATGTTTTAATTTTGCATCATACGCTCCTAGAAAATGTAATAAATACAGAGTGTGCATTTATTTAATTTTGTATCAGCATTTTTTATAATTGTGTTGATTTTATCTTCATCTATTGAATATCTCTAATGCTAGAATAATGCTGGTTATTTAAAGAACATTCTAAAAGGTTACTTAAAGAATCTTTTGGGGGGGGGGATTTAAGGCCCAAGCTTTTTGCAAAAGGAATATTATACATCACCACATTGTATCCCATTCCAGGGCCTTCTTATGTCACTGGGACCAATACTAAAGTACTTATTTCCTGCAAGGAACTACCCATGTTCATTCATTCTTATACTTTGATCATATTTGCAACGTCCATGCAAACATCTTACAAAATTCCCAGCAGTGCACTAAGGCAGGTGTCAGGAACCATTAGCCCTCCAGAGGTTGCTGAACCACGATTCTCATCATCAATAGTCATTAGCTGCTGGGGCTGATGGGAACTGTAGTTCAACAACATCTGGAGAACCAAAAATTTCCCACATCTGCACTAAGGGAAGGTTTTAGGGGCACACTCAGCAGAAATAATTGGAAGATTCCCAAACACAGTAGGGCTGCTTGATTGCACTTTAAACTAAGTGAAATTAGACACCTTACAATCTAACCAAGGGAGGCCCATAAGACCACAAAGTCCAGAGGGAAGGGTCATAAGGCAATTCACTTCAGCGGCTAACATTGCCTAACTGAATGAATAATGATAACTGAAAAACTTACATTTAAATGTCCATTCCTAAAGATACTTATCTGGGAGCAACCTTTGCTAAACTTAATGGAGCTTATTTCTGAGTAGACATGCAGGGGGTTGCTGCTCATATAATTTATTGCTATAAAATTAAATTAATTTTAAATAACACATTGGACACACAGGGGTTTCTGTGTAAGAATGTATAAATCTGCCCTGCACAACTATCAGTTTTAAATGCAACACCCTAACAATAGCTAAATCAAAACCACAAGAGTCAAATTATGTTCAACATACACACTCTTTCCAATACTATTTTTAAACATGTACGCAACCAATGCCAAGGCTAAGAGAGATGTGAGACTATGACTGGCCCAAGGTCACCTAGTGAGCTTCATGGCCGAGTGGGGATTTGAACCCTGGTTTCTCAGGTAGGTCCTAATCCGATGCTAAGCACTACACCACTGGTTGTGTAGCATGAATGGCTAGCCTGCGGCCTTTCAGACATTGCTGGACTCCAAATCCCATCATCCTTGACCATTTACCATGCGGGTCAGGATTGCTGGGAACTGTAGTCCAGCAACAATGGAAAGACCACAGGTTTAGTCACCCCTAAATTTGTCTTTAAAGTATTCAAAATATACTAAAAACAGGCTACTGATTAGTATCTTTCTCCTCAAAACTCTCCTGCAACAGTGTTGGGCCTCTGGTCTATTTTGAAGATAATTGTATATCTTTAATAGATATGTATAGGTTGGCGCTTTTTTGTATAAAACAGCAAATGGATACATACACTGTCCCATCTTCTCCATCCTGTACTGTAATCTTTGCTGCTCCCAGTTTGGGCAAGGTTGGATTTATGATATTGTTGTTCCACAGAAATTTAACCTTAGTAACTGATCCAACATTAAGTTGTACATCAATTAGGTGGGTATAAGTTTCATCAGGTTGGAGTTTCCCCCTTGGAGAGAAAAAATATGATACAAATACACAAAGAGGTTCTTTTTTAAAAACACTTATACATACATATGTCCATCTTCTCCATCTTGCACCTGAATCTTTGAGGCTCCCAATTTGGGAAAGGTTGGGTTTATGATATCATTGTTCCAAAGGAATTTAACTTTAGTTACTGCTCCAATATTGACATCTATGTCGGTGAAGTTGGTATGTATAGTGCCAGGCTTCAACATTCCCCTTGAAAAATAAAAACAGGTAAGTGATTTCCTTCATTATTGACTGATCATGCTGTGTCATGGTGAAGGCTAATTGACACAAGAGGATTTGTTGGCCATTGGTCCAGCCACTGTGGTTTCTAGGATGTTGTGTTCACAAGTGCATCATGTACTATTCAGTACCTAACATTGTAAGAGGTAACACACATAATCAGATTTGAACATCGCAATGGTGTTGTCACATCTGAAGATACCAACACATTGATCTGGCTTCTTTTCCATCAGCTCCTGAGAATTTCACTTGCAATGCAGAAAGGGTGAATTCAGACAACCACTAACTGAGAAGGAGGAATGCAAGAGTTTACTGCAAGAGTGGCCTGCAGCTCTTGCCCACATGGTAACCCTAGGGTTCCCATCCTCCGTCGACTGTTTTGAAAAATTGGGATTACTCAAGTAGGATGATGAAGCTGGGTTTAGTGATTATGGACAACCACCTCTTAAGTTAGCACAGTAAGGTGAAAAATAGGGAACAAGGCACACAATCGAGTATGAGCAAAAGGTGCAAGGATTACTATTGCAATATGTACATAAGAAGAGAATTCAACTTTAAACTTTCCAAAAATATGGAGAAATGTAGTAAGATAACAAGTAGCCAGCAAGAATGCTGAGAACCAAAAATCATGTGACCAGCAACAATACCAAGACCCAGATGCATTTCAATCCACTAGTGGTCTTGCTCAGCAATTATTGTTGTTGTTGTAATATAAATTTATTTATTTATATGCCACCCTTCACCGGAAGATCACAGAGCAGTTTACCACAAAACACAAAAATTACCACAATAACAAACAAAAACAATACCTCACCCACCCCAGTTTAAAAGGCCATAGACTCTGAAATGCCTCATAAATTGGAAACTGCTTTATATAATGTCAGATAGTCCATTTGGGTCAGTATATACAAATCTCAATGTTGAATGTTACTTGAGGAGAATCATTTGACTGGTCTTTATAGATATCATGAGCTGACCTGTAAAGTATACAAGTCTGACTAGACCTGACTTTACCAGACTAAGGTAAAAACCCTAGTCTGATGAAAAATTATTGACAGGAAAGTATCTTATCCATAGATTTTTGTGTGGTAAGTCTGGAGATCTATAGGTGAATATGTCTTGCTCTGAGGTGCATTCCAATGCCCCACATTGATTCTAGGCAAGTTTATTTCAAGAGGAGGCAACACTACCACATCTCCACATGGTTAGAATCACCACAGCCAACTAGCACCTTTAAAGTGTATAAATTATACAAGATGGGGAGAGGAGAAGGGGATCAGGGGGGCAGCCCCTCCCCTGACCTGCTTTTGAAGATTGGAATGGAACAGTAAACACAAAGGCTCTTTGGAAAAAACACAAAGATCCTAAAAACTATGACAGCTTTATCCATGTAGATCTCAAAAGGTCCCTCAACTCTATGCATCCATGGAAGACATGACATGGGCAGCATATATAGTTGGATAAGCATAGGCTCACTTAAGAAAGCCTACAGTCCTTCAGGTGATTTGGAGCAGATTATTATACAGTATTGCCTGGGGAGGTGCGAAACCTGCCAAAGGAATGCTATAATCCCAGTAGATAATGTATTGTCTAGACCAGTGTTTCCCAACCTTGGGCCTCCAGCTGTTTTTGAACTACAATTCCCATCATCCCTGACCACTGGTCTTGCTAGCTAGGGATGATGGGAGTTGTAGTCCAAAAACAGCTGGAGGCCCAAGGTTGGGAAAACACTGGTCTAGACCACGATGGAGAAGAATGAGGGCCAAATGCATGAAAGGGATACAAAAAATGTGCACTATATATACGTGGGTTTGTTTACTACTGTGTGCCAGAGTTTCTTTCCCCCTCCACCATGCTTATATTGCATGACAGACAGGTGATATTTGGCTTAGATTAAAATGATTTATTGTAGAAATCATTTAAAATGTCCCTGCTATTAAATCTACTTTTCAGCACTAAAACACGTTGCTGCTGGCTAAACTAAATAAATAGCAGGCTGGAAAGTGACATTTTTGAATAGCTATAATGTACCAGGGCTTTTAGCTCAGACAGTCACAGCAAACAAAAAGCGGAAGCTTAAAATCACATTTCGGAAAATACCAGAGGGGCGTTTTCTCCCTCTTAACGCAGATGACATTTGAAAATAGAGTGACTAACGTGAAAAAGTGTGGGTGGTATGTGTTCTAAATAATTTATGAGACCAGGACAGTATTCGACTAACAAAATTCTACAGCATTGGAAACTTTGGAACTCCTGCCTATTGACATCAATTAGGCACCGTTGTTGTATTCCTTTCAGCACCTGCGTAAAACATTTTCACTTGGATAAGCCTATCCAGACACATAAATGTTGGTGTGCTCTAATTTCTTTTTTAGTTTACTGCTGATTTTAATTGTTTTTAAAATGTTTCTAATTACTTGTCTTTAACTATTTATATAGATAATTGTAATATTTCTTGTAAATTGCTTAGAAACGAGATTCAATCAAGCAGTATATACATTTTGTTAACGAAATTAAAATGCCCAGGAAAATCCACGTCAATAAACGTGATATCATGAAATTAGATATCACTTTAAATTAAAACCCTGACCCATTTCTAGTTTTGTTGCTAGGAATTTCTTTCTGTCTTTTCAACCATTTATATATCGCTTAGCACCATCATCTTTAAGAGCTGTGCAGTATGGTTAACATGATGCAATAAAGATAAAATGACTTAAAACTAACCATGGTATGAGAAAGCTGACTGAAAATGCCCGCTGAAATAAAATTTTAAAAGGGCCTCATTTGATTCTGGAATTTCAAACGGGAGGGGATCTTTCTGATATCAGATGGGAGGGAGCTCCACAAAACTGAGCCATGGTTCAGTTTTTGCATCCAAAATTGTTGGTAGGTTCTCAGGGTCGGCCCTATCATTAGGAGGAGTGAAGCAATGGCCTCAGGGTGGCAGATGCTGCTCTCCCCCCTCTCCCTGTGTGTAGGGGGTAATATATTGCCTCCTCCTGGGCACCTTATAAAAACGAGCTGTGAGAAAATAAAACAAGAGTCAATTAAGGAAGGGCTTTTGTTTGAGGAGGGGAAACAGAAGAGTTGTGTGAAAGTTGAAGGGAGAGACCTAACAAAGAAGGGAATGAAGCTGGCAGTGAAGAAAACAGAAAGGCAAACTCTGATAAACTGAAATATCAAAGAGAGAAACTACCACCTACATGGCAATGGTTAACTGACATTATTGATCAGTTTCTGCTAGAAAGAGTGAGGCAAGTCCCTCAGGTGGCAGATACTGGAGGGCTGGCTGTTCCTCCTGAAACCCTGGGTCATTCTCCTCCGTTGGAAGACAGAACTGGGTCTTCCACATGGCTTCTTCCAAATCCATTAAACTAGGCCGCTGCCCTTGGATACTGTGGAGGATGGCTGTCCCATTGCCAGAGCTGAGGTAAATTTCAACTGCCACACCAGTTGGCTTATGGACATGGGGAGGGTTCTTGTCATTTGCATCAGGGGCAAAATGTATTGGGCTGGCCATATCATTGATGATCTTTTTCAAGAAATTTGAGTTGCCAGCTAACCAGCAGTGGTTTGAGGCTAGGCCATGGAGGGCCATTGTCAGAGTTGGGTCACTGTTGGCTGTTGCCAAGCAACCAACTGTAGCAGGGAGCTGGGTCATTTATTCCGCCCTTTCCTCAGTCACCTGAGGAACTGTATTTAAGTTTTATACTGATTATAAATAATTCCAAGTCAGGCACTCACAGGGACATGTGCAACTTTGCCCATGATGTTAAACTGGGGGCAGAAAAGTGTAAAAGAGGGCAGGGTTCCTGCAACTTTACAGCTGAGCTGAAGAGGGAATTTCAGCAGGTGTAGCCTGCATGACTTCTACACAACTATTAAAAGAAGGTGCATAAGCCCCATGCTCTTATGGACCCACCCATCTTAAACAAAAACTGCAAATGTACTGTGAAAACCACCACAACAGGGTGACTGGGCAGCAAAATGGCCGAAAAGAGTTACTGTAATTCAAACTGATGTGGATTAGGATAAGAAACACCCTGATTTGATATACAGTGGTACCTCGGGTTACATACGCTTCAGGTTACATACGCTTCAGGATGCAGAATCCGCTAACCCAGAAATAGTGCTTCAGGTTAAGAACTTTGCTTCAGGATGAGAACAGAAATCGTGCTCCAGCAGCGCAGCAGCAGCAGGAGCCCCCATTAGCTAAAGTGGTGCTTCAGGTTAAGAACAGTTTCAGGTTAAGTACGGACCTCTGGAACGAATTAAGTACTTAACCCGAGGTACCACTGTATATGATCCCTAAAGTGTCAGTAATTAGTAAATTTTGTAACCTTCAGTGTGCAATCCGAATTCCTGGCACAAAGGTTGGAGGGCTGGTTTAGGCTTATCAGCTACTATACCTTGACTGAGTTAGGATCCAGTGGATCCTTGGCTAACCCAGCTCTGTCCCTTTCTGCCCCCACAAATGTCTTCTTTCAGGGGCTTTTGCTTGCATCTGCCTGCCCACATTTTGGCAGGTATAATAGGGCTTTTCATACTGGAAGGGTGCACCTCACTCTGGTAGAGCCTGGCAGAGCTGAGTAGAGCTGAGCAGAGCACACTTGAGAAGCAAACTGGGTTTTTGCTGCTCTGTTATTTGTGTTTATTTTTTCATTTGTATCTGTATTTTTTGTTAACTACCTTAGAGGCTTTATTGCAGAAAGGTGGGTCATAAATTCAATAAACAAGTAGGCTAACCAAACAGAAAAGAGCTCTTGAGGTTAATGTAGAAAACTCCAGTTGCTAGAAAATTGTTAGAAGATGAAATAGAATGTATTGTAATGCAATATGAATCTGTTGTTTAGCTTTATTTGCATTTCTGTTCACCCCATATGAAAAGAAAAAAATATCAAATCATCTTACAAGTAGAAAAAGAGAAACAGAAAAGCAAATGTCAAGTAGGAACACATATTTTAAAATCTAATTTTTTACCCACCGTACTTACTTGAAAATCTGATATTGCTTGGTGTTCCCTCCACTTCCATATAGGGCAATATTTATGTATCCACGGACACTGCTTCTTCCAGACAGAGTGACTGATATTTTGTACCTCCAACCTGAACAACACAAATAGCAAGATTTTGATTTTCATCAGGCAAGTTCCTATGATTCTTGACATTTAATTCTTCTTCGTCGTAATTTTGTGTGTTGATATCAGATATTTATTTTATGTGAAGGATTCAGACCAGAGGAACTTTAGACATCATTTGCAAAACCAAATGTATTATGCAATATCCTCTTTCACTTCAAGTTATGGAATTAATTGAATACTTCTCTAGGCAAAGAGTATGGCTCCAGGCTATAGTTCCTGGCTAGGGCAACTGCTTTGCATGCAGAAGGGTCCCAGTTTCAATCCCTGGAATCTCAGCTGGGAACAGCTGGAAAAAACTCTTGACTGAATCCCTGGAGAGCTGCTGACTGTGTAGACAATACTGAGCTAGATAGACCACTGTGAATCAGAACACAGGTGCTCTGAATTATGGCACATTTGGTGTACATCTGTTTCTGATCTCTGTGCACAAAAGCTTGCTTTGTGTTTGGCTCTTGCTTGCTGAAACACTACACCTGTCTAGGCACAATTTAGCAGCATCTGAAGTGTTGTCTTGGCTTTTGGGAAAGATGCTGCCTGTTATCTAGGATATTTTTTGCTCCACATACAAGATGGAAATCCAGACCAATAGAGCAAACTGTAATCTTTGTAACAAACTATTGTTTCATACAGTTCTCTGAGCTGCCAATATAGGATGAGGTCAGCCTTCAGAGTTTACTCCAAAAGTGAACTTACGGGCAAAATCCTTGGCATCTCCAGTGTTCAGATAAAGCTTTGTAAATGAAGAGGTGAATCTGCCTTTAGATTCAATTGCATAGTGACCCATTTTAGGGCATCCACCATTTGGACATGGGAAGCAGCCATCCTAGTGAAAACAGGAAAACTCATTTTATTCATATTGCAACAATTATTTCTCTCACTTGTTGCACTGTTGGGAAGCCATACCTAATAACTGTTCAACACCTCTTTCATTGTCCTGCCCTGGACAACTGACTTCTTGTTGTGGCTCAAAGATCAATTTGGAGGTCACGTGCCGGGGTACTGCCAGGTACTTTAAGGGCCCAAGACACAGACCCATGACACAAATTTGCATATGCTACTTTTTATGTACCGATTCCCTTTGGCAAATTAAGCTCTCCACTATGGAGTGTGCCAAGTTGTCCTGTAGGCAAAGTGATGCTTTTTAAAAGGTATTGCAAAGGCAGGACACCCAGGGCTGGTGCAAAAGTCCTCCTGGCCCACTCACTAATGCCATACCTGACCCATGCCATATTCTCAAGACATTTCAGAAGCAAATTAGTACATAGAAGAGAATTAAGGCAGCTTGCTGTCCTTAAACCTATTATAAAAGTCAAAACGCAATATCATTATAGAGCCTTTGTTAACTAAGCCTTGATTCTACAATTCACCTAATCTGCAAGCATTAATTGTGTGTGTCCCTTGAAGTTGTTCTCAGTGGTCTACATTATAAAAATGTTTGCATGGTTGATAACCCTTTAAGTTTAAGATGACAGAAGTTACATTAAGTACATGAAGTTATCCGTAGCTCCTGGGCCCCTTCAGAAGGGAAGGATGGCCAGCCATAGGGACAGAAGTTACAGAAGTACATGTCTTTCCCTTTGCCGTGGGAAAATAGCACCCTAGAGTTTATTTTAGGACTTTTACATTTGAAGAAGTTGACAGTTCCTGTTCAGAAAACAATGACAATAGTAATATGAATCTAGATTCAGGTAGGTAGCCATGTTGGTCTGATGCAGTCAAAATAAATAAATAAAAATTAAAAATTGTCCAGTAGCACCTTGGAGACCAACTAGGTAGTTCTGGGTATAAGCTTTCGTGTGCATGCACGCTGAAGAAGTGTGCATGCACACAAAAGCTTATACCCAAAACTACTACTATTTATTTCAATAGTAATATGAAGTTAATGTTAATCAGTCTTCAATTCTCACTGTGACTGCCTTGCATCATTCTGCTACTAGTCCAGTAACCTATTCCCAAGATTCCAATTATTCTTTTATGGACCTTGACCTGTTGTACTGGTACAACTGCCTCAGAGTGAGTTGGTTCCCATGGCTTGGCATTACATGGTTGAGTCTTCACTTCATGTGCTTCTTCCTCCTCTCATTCATTGTGCTTAATTGGTTACTTTCTGGTTTGTGACAAACTACAACTTACAGTTGCATCCCAGCTGGCAAACTATGGTTCGCACTTGCCCTCCAAACCAGGAATGGAACTCATGATTTGCAACTGGTTTGCAGTCCCAGCATGGAAGGTAGTTGAAAACCAGTTTTCTTATTTGGATATACCAGTAATTGCAAACAATGATTTGAAGCAAATTAAATGGCATATGAGAGGGAAGAAGGAGGATGAGGAAGACCACGTGAGCACAGGTCTTGTTCCCGTTCTCCTAAGGCATGGTTTGGCATTACAAATGACCAGTCTTTTTCTTCACACATAACCTAGTGTCAAGGGATCTTAGCAAACTGGAAAACTGCATTCTACTGCATGTGCATGATGAAGCAATAACATGAGGTGTTGCTCCTGAGATACACAAATAACATACCGTTTCAAATAAGTTGTATGCTGCACAGGGGTAACCCAAAAATCCATCTGGGAAGACAATGCTATCTGAATAATACTTGTAGCTTCGCAAGTGGTTACAGGCCACAAAGTCACGGGTTCCTGTGGGAAAAGAAACTGCTGTTATGTGCTATAGTTTACTTTTTGATTCTTCTTTGTATCATGTGCTTTGACCAAGGCTATATGCACAGCTTCTGCTTTTATCCCCCTTTCTGGATTTAACTAAATTCTCTCTAACTGTTCACAACCACATTTCAAGCAATGGTAGATTCCAAAATACCCCCTTGTAAGATTAAGAATACATCAGCATTGGTGGGATAAGGGAAGCAAAAGATTGGTTACACTGGGTTACTTTAGCTCATGTTTGTTTTGCTGCAAAACAGCAACAGTTAGTTGCCTCTAAGGTTTGTTCTCAGCTTGTTGCTTGTGGTTCGTTTGGGGAAGATAAACCATGAGCCTAAGTTCAGACATAATACTAAGACCAACCATGGCTTAGGTTCCAGTAGCATGAAAACTACTGCAAAGCATCCATAGTTTTCAAAAACTGCACTAGCACACTTCTTCATTCATACTTAGCCATGGTTTGGCTTAGCATTATGTTTAAATCTTAAATCTGAGATTTGACTTCTAGTAGTATCCCAGGTTTCATATCCTGTATGTAAATAGTCAATACCTGTTGCTAATATAATCCTTGATTCTTGATTCTTTTTAACTTTGATATTCAGTGTTTGTAACAAAATTGGTATTGAACAGTTCTTCAGTCTTTGACACTCATAGGAAAAGCCACTAGAAAGTATTCTAACCCTGCAATTGGTCCCTGTATCTTTCTGAGTGGCCTGTGCTTCATTAATAGTGCACAAACAGCATTGGGTACTATGACCAAAATTAATGTTGAGTGGTGAAATCTCATTCTTAACATTCAAAATTCCCCTTGAGTGATGTGTGAAATCGGAAGCATGGAAAACTGATCTGCTTCATCCCTAGCTCATTGTATCTGTTAGTAGAATCCCTTGTTCCTTTTCAATTCCATTTTGAATAGAAAAAGACGTGATAGAATTTGATTATTTTCACTGCCAAAAGCAATAATCACAAATGCAGCAACATACCCAAATATCAAGGTCATTCTCATATGCTAACACCATTGTCTAGCACTGCTGCCAAGAAACTAAGTAAGAGAGATTAATTATGTTCTGTCCTCAATCTTCAAATCATTGGAATAGTTTAAGCTGTATTTACTTCTTTCATAGGCAGCTTTTCTCAACTGAATTAATTCCTGTTTGTTTCTATTCTGTATGCTAATTAGCGAAAATATTGGATGCAACAGAACTATAATTAAGTAGGTGTCTTTTTTATATCTGCCATCATATTGACAGATTTTATGCCTGTTGAATCAGTATAATGGAACAGTTTTTCATAAATGAATCAGATAGGAGGTTTGGGGACATATAAGGATGACAAGGTTTGGGATATTTTACTAAGGAAGATTCATTAACACTTGCTAAGCTTCTATAATGCAATCTTGATTTGTGGGATTGACAAGAAAACACACTGTTTTTATTGCTGTATGTCATGATTTCTAGCCCTTGGACTATATTTCATTTTCTTAAATTATCAAAGATTGAAAATTAATAGTAAATTCAAAAAATTCAGAAATAATCACACATGTACTTATATACATATTTGCTAATTATCAAAATAAGTACATAACACAAAACATGTACACAAATTATCTTCCTATCTACTATATATTTTGGAAAGTTGCTTATCTCTTCAGTATGGGTTGTGTCCAATGCTAGTCAGAATTGATCAACTGAGATTAATAGACATGACTAATGTGGGTTCATTCATTTTAATAGGTCTGCTCTGAGTAAAAATCAGGCTGTGTATACATTACCATTAATTCTGGCTTCAGTGCACTCCCATACAACATGTTTCCTGCATCAAGAGTACATTGAAAAGTCTCCTTTCCTCTCCTTCTGCCCACCCACCAAATCTGCTCCAAAGGGTCCCCTTAAACCTCAGGATCAGATTTCTAGGGGGCACAGGGGGCTGAGGGTTCCACCACACAAGTCAAAGTCTGATGCATGAGCATAACAGCAGTGTTGGAAACAACCCATTCATCTACACAGATTTAAGCGTTCTAAAGTCCTATTAATTTCAGCAGAAGAGATTTGAGTATGTATTTTATTCTCTCATGGAAGTCAGTGGGATTTAAAAGGCTAAATGAATCTACTGTTGTAAGTATTTTGGTGGCATAACATAAAAAACTAAAGAAGGTATTGAACTGTAACCTCGAGACAGTCTTTGGTGCCAAACCTTCTGTAGCACCAGTGCTCTGGAGCTTAGTCAGCCAATCAGATAGAGGGCACCCCTATAGCCTACAGTGCTGATCTTAGTGCTGATCAGCTGACCCTACAGCAGTGGTATCCAAACTTTTTTCGAAGAGGGCCAGATTTGATGAAATGAAGGGCAGTGAGGGCCGACCAAAGGGCCGACCAAAGTTGTTGACCTTTTTTAGGATTGAAGCTGTTGAGCACCTTTAAGGGTTGGAGTTGTTGAGCTTCTTTTAGGATTGAAGTTGTTGAGGTTTTTTTGGGATTTTATGCCAGGAAATAAACTGCCACAGGGGCTAGATTAAACCGGCCAGCCGGATTAGGCCCCCGAAACAGACTTTGGACATGCCTGCCCTACAACAGCCTAAAGCTGGTGAACTCACCATGCAAAGCAATCATAAGATCATAAGAAGAGCCCTGTAGGATTAGGCCAAAGGCAGCATCCTATTCTCATGGAGGCCAACCAGATGTCAGTGGGAAGCCTGCAAGCAGCACCTGGGTGCAATAGTGCTCTCCCCACTTGTAATTCCCAGCCACTGGTATTCCTCTGACAGTGGATGTATAGCACAGCCACCATGGCTAATAACCATTGATAGCTTTATCCTCCATGAATTCTCTTTTAAAGACATTCAAGTAGGTGACCATCACTGAATCTTGCAGTTGCAATCAAGAGGAAACAGACATTATAAAGCTCTTCCTTATAGGCTGGTCTAGCAGTCAGCAACTGATTGAAGTAACTGTGCAATCCCTCCCCCGTCTCTATCTTTAATCCAGCCTTTGGACTCCAGTCTATTCATGACCACACATCCTACCTCTGTCCCTGTTTCCCTGATTTGATACATACCTTCCCAGATTCCATCAATGTCAACTATTTGTGAAATAGGATTCTTCTTACATCCCGGCATATATTCTCCTCCATTTGGATAAAAATCAAGGTGTCCTATAGCTTGACTTATACCAAAACCTGGAAAGTCCATAGCAGATAAGTATATGTTAAATCTGAAAGATTCCATGCATATTATTGCACATGTTGTATACTGCAGTCAACTTACCCATGTATGGAATAGTTGGGGCTGAATCAGTATGAATAATGTCAACAAAATCAGCGTTACTTTTATCCAGTCTGACCTCAGTTGGCGTGCCTTGAAAATAGGGTTGAGCAGGATCCAGTCCTATAAACATTTAAATGTTTGTTTCAAGAGATGAAAATTTACGGAATATGTTGAACCACAGTTAACTGAAGTAACAACTAACAACATATTATTGGAAATGGGAGCGGAGCTGGGAAAATTCTGATTCCCAAAAGAACAACTTTGCATTCAATTATTTGCCAGGAAATCCCCTCAGACAAATTATCTGAACCTGTGCAGGATGGTAAAACATCTGTAACTGCACTGATCCTGAAATATGCCTATTCTTGTATCTCCAAGGCAGTGTTATATTGCTGGGCTTTCAAATGCCATTCTACAGTAGACTAGGCTACACCCAACAGCAACACATGCCAAAGTACACTCACACTTTCCCATTCATTAAACATTTTCCTCCCAATATACTATATTAAGCTACTATAATTACATAAGTACAACATGGCAGATAAGATTCAAAGTCCATATTGATTGTCTTGATACCAATTTGCATTGCACCAACTTACCAGTTATTCTTCCAATTCCTGGTACTCTTCTTCCCATCTCACCACCTGCATGTGCGCCAAGGCTGTGGCCAATGAAATGAACCATGGATGGAGAGTATCCATACTTTGACTAAAAAAAGAGCAATTGTAAAGAAAACAGCATACACACTGGTAGATGTGTGTTATGGTTCATTCAGTTTGTAACTCAATCTACACAAACCTTTATCCTTACAAGCTGAATTCAGCTTGGAGCCACTCCATGTGTGAGAGAGAAAGGGGGAGGGGGAGGGGGGAGACTGACTTTGCGGGTAGCTTAAAGGTGCTGAAGGACATTGCAAAACTACAGAGTTGAAGAAAGACATAGCATATTTTTGGATTTCATATCTTTTAAATAAGATGCCAGCTAGGTTAGATCAACTTTCCTCCATATGGTGCGCTCCAGCTGTTTTTGATCAAACTCTCATCAATCCTAGCCAGTACATTGACTGGGGATGATAGGAGTTGTAGTCCAAAACAGCAGGACACCACAACATTGGTGAAGGCAGCATCAGCTCTTAACTGGTGCTTGTTTCTTAGCACAAATAATATATATTGAGATGGTCTGTAGCTTAGTGGATATAATACCTTTTGGATTTTGACACAGGAGTTCTGAATTTTGTTCTTAGCTGTGGACTTCTGCTTGGTGGCATTGGGAAAGTCACTATGGTTATTTTGTTTCATTTCTAAACCATTTGTATGTTATCTATGTATTTATTTTATATTAAGGGTTCTATTTTTGTCTGACTGCTTCGCATATTGCTGCATTAAATTTGAATCAAGTGCATAATTAATACATGGCTTTGCAAATCTTGCCCTAGTGCTTGGGGTAGTCAAGAATGCATATTTAAAACTGAATACTAGGCTTATACTTCCTTGCTAAAATTTCAATATTGGCTTAGCTACAAGTGACAACCTTTTCCTCTCCCCAGCAAAACATCTTCCCGGAATATGGTAACTGAATTTTGACACTAAACTCACTCTGTCCACCAGATGAAAGTATTTGGGTGGGGGTTTTTGCCCAGGTTTTATCAAATGATTTAATCTTTCTTGTCACGGATGCCTTCCAGTAACTGTAGGATTCATAACTATGGCATAGTGAATGGAACTGCTCTTACCTGAAGGACATTTACAAAGTAGGCCACTTCAGCTCCCACCACACGGATATTGTTCGATGCTTGGGTGTATGGACACCTGGAACCACTACTCCAGTCTATGCAGATGCAGTTCACATCTTCCACTTGAAACATCCTCTGATGCAAACAGAGTAAAAACAAACTTGAGGGACAGCGTCCTGGCTCCACAAATCCTGAATGTTCTCTTTGTGCTAAAGCACCACTTACCCTATTATTCACAGAATTGTGCTACTGTAGCCACCTTGGCTGGCAGCTGCCTTAGGCCATTTTACCTTTGTCATGTTTCATCGTTCATTTCCTTGTGTTATCTATTTTCACTATACTAGCAAAGTTTGGAGGCAAGTGCTACTCCTAAGTAGCCACAGTGGCACCACACACATACACACACACTAGGGAGAGGTATTAGCATACCCCAAGGTTTCCAGCAATACAAAAAAGATGCAACATACAACCCTGATTTTCAAACCCTCCGAGTCCAATGATCACTGAATGATGAGTGTTGAGGAGGTGGAAACTGGAGAAGGGAGGGGAAATGGAACGGAGTATCATAGAAAATGGCAGGGTTGGCTGGCTGGAACCCTGAACAAGAGCACTCCACACTGCAGCATTTCTAGGTCCCACATGGCCTAACTGTTTTGCAAGTGAGTCAAGTAAGAGGAAAATCACTTCATATTTAAGTATCAGAGCCTCAGAAGCATTTGAGTGTGACAGATCTGGCTTCATTTTAGGATACTGGATGACATGATCTTTAAGTCCCTCCAAGAAAATACTTTAGTTAATCCTGACAAATGAAAATCAGAACTCACAATTAAGTGCAAGTTCATAATTCTTATGGTGGTGGTGGTGGTGGTGGTTGTTGTTGTATGTTCCCTGTGGCAAATTGGTAACAGGCAAAGAGCTATGATAATTGTGAGGGCTATGTGTCTGGATATGAATGTATTTCAGAGCTATTTCATGAACGTTACATTGTACTGTACCTTGCACATGTCTGACAGCCAGTTTTCTTCGCCTTGATCTACAAATCCATGGGTAATGAAGCGGGTTATCTTGCTGGCATTAAAGTTTGAATAATCAATCGTTTCTGGATTAATTGCAGTGATTTCCTGTGAAAGGTATGAAAGAATATAAACTTTAACTGCTTCTCCCAACCCACCTAAAACTGAGTGAAAGTACCAAACACCATCCATAATGATTGAAATGTGTTTTAATTCATCCACACTTGCTGTGAATTTCCATATGTTTCATAGAGGTATTTCTCTGAGGCCACCTCCAGATGACCTGCTTTTTGAGCACTCATCCTGATTTGTTTGCAGCAAGATTAGATGGTGTTGGCCATTTACCAGGCATTCATTAAGATCTGAATGTAGGGATGTTAGACAACATTGTTCAACACTTTCCAGTTCATTTTTCTGCCACTTTCCTTATTGCAAAAAAAATCTGATACTTTGGGAGAAGTGGGTCTGCAGGGCAAGACCTCCCAGTCAACTATAATTGTGCCACCTGAATTTGCCCATATGTGATTGAATCCTACCTGAAAATAGCAAGCCTGGGAGTGCCCTTAGAGTATTATCCCCTTTTATTCTGTGTATGGGGAAATCTTGCAATTTTACATGGTTGTGGGCCTTACTTGGAAGTTATTAGGGTTCTGCTTTGTGTAGAGAAGGAAGCGAGTGTTTATTCTTGTTGGGGACCAAGGTAACTTTGCGATTGGTCGTTGTACAGTTCCAGCCCATGGTATATCATCTGAAAAGCAGCCCAGTCGGTCATAGCAGACTTCTTTTCCTGTTATATGGGGAGCAAATAACCAAAGTATGAGTGACCAAAGAATTCACAGTCTGTCCTTTTTTGATGTTCAGGCAAGCTCATGTGAAATAAGAGTTATTTAAGACTGCTTCCAGCAATTGTCTCATCTTCAGAAACACTCCAGAAACCCAAGAAAGCTTTAAAAACATTTTTTGATGCACCGCAAACACCTGCAAATTGGGGCAGGGAAATAGTGGCACAATATAACGCAGAAGGACTTGACTTGTATGTGTTAAAGGAGCAATTGGTTTGTGAATAAAATGTTTAGATAGGTTCATCTTTCCATTTTGGTTTCTTTCTGTTTTCATTTTTTCAATCTTAAATTTCAAACTTTAAAATTAAAATTCATCAGCATTTAGCATAAATTTCTCCAAAAATACACACTTTTATGTAATTTGGCCAATGCAAACATTTTTGTAAAGCCGTTTTCCTTAATATACTGCACTTTGATGTGTTAATTTCAATAACAAATGCCTTTTATACTTTATCTTAGTATATGCATTTTTGTACACATCACTTAGCTGAACAACCGCATTTCAAAATTTGGAGGCATGAATTTTGAAGGACGATTGTGCTACAGTTTAATAATAATAATAATAATAATAATAATAATAATAATAATAATAATAAATTTTATTTATACCCCGCCCTCCCCGGCCAAGACCAGGCTCAGGGCGGCTAACATCAGGTATAAAAACAATTGATTAAAATGCAACTTAAAAACAGGATTAAAATACAACTTAAAATGCAGCCTCATTTCAATGTTGAAAAGGCCCTGGCCCTGGTTGAAGCTAATCTGAATTCCTTAGGGCCTGGAACCTTAGAGTGTTGCTATTTATGGACCTTAAGGTCCTCCGCGGGGCATACAAGGAGAGGCGGTCCCATAGGTATGAGGGTCCTAGGCCGCAAATGGCTTTAAAGGTCAAAACCAGCACCTTAAACCTGACCCTGTCCTCCACTGGGAGCCAGTGCAGCTGGAAAAGCACTGGGTGAATGTGGTCCCATGGCAAGGACCCTGTGAGGAGCCTCGCCGCAGCATTCTGCACACGCTGGAGTTTCCGGGACAACTTCAAGGGCAGCCCCGTGTAGAGCAAGTTAAAGTAGTCAAGCCTGGAGGTGACCGTCGCATGGATCACTGTGGCCAGATCAGGGCGGGAAAGATAAGGGACCAACTGTTTGATATGGCGGAGATGGAAAAATACTGCCTTGCAGTAGCTGCAACCTGCGCCTCCATGGAGAGGGAGGCGTCGAAGGTTTCACCCAAACTCTTGACAGAAGGCACTGGCACAATTTGAGCCCCCGCAAGAGATGGGAGTTGGCCCCCCAACCCCATGCCATCCCGACCCAGCCAGAGGACCTCTGTCTTCGAAGAGTTTAACTTCAACCGGCTCCTATGCAGCCATCCAGCCACAGCTTCCAGATATCTGGTCAGTGTGTCCACGGCTGACTCAAGGGGGCGCACAAAGATGTTAGAAAGCATTGGGGAAAGGATTGCGCCCTGTGGCACTCCACATACCAAGGGGTGCCGCAACAACATCTCCTTCCCTAGCACCACCCTCTGTCCCTGACCTGAGATAAAGGAACGCAGCCATTGTCGGACTATGCCCTCCCCACATCAGCAAGGCGGTGGTCCAAAAGATCGTGATCAACCATGTCGAAGGCTGCTGACAAGTCTAAAAGAATCAGCAGTCCCGACCTGCCTCAGTCCAGTTGTCTACGGAGATCATCTGTTAGGGCGACCAGAGCCGTCTTGGTCCCATAACAGGGCAAAAGCCGGACTGGAATGGATCCAAAGCCGATGTTTCCTCCAGAAACCTACCAAGCTGTTCAGCAACCGCTCTCTCACCCAGGTATTACCCAGGTATGAAAGATTTGAAACTGGGTGGTAATTGGATGGATCTAAAGGATATAACGATGTTTTCTTTAAGAGCAGACACATCACTGCTTCCTTCAGCTCCCCTGGGAATGTCCCTGTGCCAAGGGACAAGTTGATGATCTCACCCAGGGGGACATGCACCTTGTCTGGGCACGCTCTGATCAGCCAAGACGGGCACGGGTCAAGGAGGCAAGTGGTGGGCCTTCCAGCTCGGAGGAATCCGTCCACACCGGCAGGGAGTATCCGGTCAAAATGGTCCAATACTAGACCCAAGGACAGTCGAGGGGCCTCCAGTTCTATTACTGTATCCAAATTGGCAGGGAGGTCACGGTGGAGCAGCAGGACTTTCTCCGCAAAAAAGCTCGTGAATGCCTCACAGCTATGGGTCAAATTCGTATTTAAATTTGGCTGTACCACTGGGGACGTTAAAGACCTAATTATTCTGAAAAGTTGTGCTGGGCAAAAGCTAGCGGATGCAATGGAAGCTGAGAAGTAAGACTTCTTAACAGCTTTCACAGCCATCTCATAGGCTTTCAGTTTGCATATTGTTTCAGAAAATCCAGATTAGGGAGGTTCATCTTTAAATGTGAACTAAATCAAATTTCTCTCCCATTCCTAATAATACATAATTAGGATCTAAATCCCAACACTAACTTGCACCTTAATTTCCCTCTCACCATCTCTCCATCTGCAGTAAGAAAGAACTCAGTCTCTCTTACTACAGTATTACTTCAATTTGGCATCCTTCAGCAGACTTACTGGGATGTGTATCACACTGCTCAGCTCCCTTTCTCTGACACACCGTATCTCAGAGGCACATTGCTGCAAACCAACATTAGTTTGGGGATCATGCAATGCCACATTAAAAGTAACAATTGGATCTCACCTGCTGTTGCATCAAGCAGTACAAGTGCCAAGCTCCAAAAGGCAAACATCTGAAATGGATTTTTAAAAGAGTAAAAAGATAGGGCCAAAGAAGGCAAGAATCAGTATTAATTTTGTCAGAGTCTCAATGGCATATTGAAGACAAATATATGCACATATATATTGAGAAGACTGATATCAGTGATAATTACATAAAGGAAAAGGGTTACAGTGACAATTAATAATGCAAACAACCTGGTATTGCACTTAGTCTTTAAGTACAGACCAACAGGCGTTTTGCCTGTTTTTGCTGCAGCAGACTAGCACAGCTACCCCTCTGGAAATTATTGATTTTGTTCTCACTGTTACAATAGCCTTAGTGTACGGTGAAAATGCATCAGTTGCAGCGCTGACTTGATGAGATAAGATGTGACTTACCGCACCGTCTTTGGATGACTCCTTCCAGCAAAGTCTTCACTACCTACACATGGTCTTTTTATAAAGTGTCATATCCTTGGGGGCTATTATTGAAAGCAAAAAAGTGTACGGAGATAGAAACTGACGTGTATTTCTGATTAAGGTTATCATAAATACACAAAGCACGGCAAGCATATCACAGATAAAATGGACTGAGTGACTGGGCAACATTTCTGAATATAAATGTAAGATCAAAGATCCTGGTTTGCTAGGGAAAGTGATATTGTCCACTCACCTGGGGCTTGGGGGGCGGGGTTGCTGCACGGTGTGGCTGAAGGTGGTCCAGGGAAGCCAACATAATCCTGTGCAACCAGGGAGGGGATGGCCACCTGGTGCTGCCCAACTAGACCTTCCAGGTGGGTTGGCCTGACCCTCTAGGCCAAATGGGGCAGGGGCATGCTGGCTGCAATATGCCCACCCCTGGCATATTTAAGAGAGCAGCTTCTATTTTTGTGTGTGATTTTCTTAAAAGGGAATTTAGTTCCTTTCATTGCACTCCCATGGTCAAAATATCAAGAATGTAAGTGGCAATCAGCAGGACTGCCTTTGGTAAGAAGTATTCAAGGTGTCATATATTGTGGGGGGAAATCAAGCCTTCACACTGTGATTAAAGGCCTGATTAAAACTGTATATAAAGACAAGGCAATGGCATTGGAGAAGACCACAATCAGTCAGAATCTCTTCTCAACTGATCAATGTGATGTTCTGATTGTATAGTGAGCTAACAGCATTTTTATTGTGATCACAAATTTATCCCAACCCAGTTAATAAGAAAGCACAAGAAACTAGCTTTACAGGAAAAACATAGGAGAAGCAGCATTACTGAACTGAAGTGAAAACTTCCAGCATTCCATACTTCTTCATTCTTTCACGTTCTCTCTCACCTTCATGCCAACTCTATATATTCTGCTTCCACAATGTGTATGGAAGAAAGCAGAAAGTAACCTTTTAAAAACGTGGATTGCATGTTAATAGGTGCTAAAATGTTCTACTGGAAAAAATACTTGACTATTCTTCACAGCTTTCACTTCTGAAGCTTCTAAAACTTGGAGGGGTCAGTTTTCAGCCTGTGCTTGCAAACCATCAGTCGCACATCCTACCATAGTAATAGGGGACCTGCATTCATCTGGGGAAAAAAAACCTAACATGTACAGGATTTCTGAGGTATTTAAAGAGGATTTTCCCAGTTGCTTTATTTTAGAATTAAGGAAGAAGGATTTTTAGAAAAATAACTGAAGCTGCAATTCTCTATACACTTACCTGGGAGTAATAATAGAATTTACATCCTGAGTAGCCATGTGTAGGATTGTGCTGTCAGAATACACTCCTATTGCATGTTTATCTAGACATCAATCCTATTAAGTTTAACCGAGTAAACATGGATAAGATCAGGCAGAATTGTGATTTGATGACAGCAAATTAATATCCTGTACAGAGGCACTACACAATAAACATGTATTCTCACACCCCACTGATATGCTTGGGATAAGGTGGTACATATACCCTTCCTCTTTTTCAGGGGATTCCATTTCACCTGTGGTCTTATAGCCAGAAGCAGTATTCCTAGAATTGCATTTTATTGCAGGCTTTGGTAGCTCCAGTCACTAGATGTGTGAAGAAATAAAAGGACACCACCTGTGCACACAAATACGAAGCTGCCAAATTATATAAGAAAAGTTCCATTAAAACCAGCCAGCTGTTTTTGATTTGTATTCAGGGACTTATTCCACCTGTTGCTTAGCAAGCATGGAAGGACCTTCACCTTATTTTCTCAAAATATGCTTTTGTTGTTGCTAAGATTATTGCAAATATTTTAAGACTGCTTTTCTGGTCAAACGTCCATCAAAAGCAACTTATAGTTCAAAACAATGACATATAAAAAGAACACAAATCTGAAAACCACAACTCAGCAGCATTTTGTTTGTTTGTTTGTGTGTGTGTGTATAAAAACATAATTCAACCAGACTGCCACCTAATTACTAAACATAATACCTGGAAAGCCAACTGAAAAGCATAAGTCTTCAGCATCTTCCAAAAACACTCCCACCTGGATGGCTTTAAAAGAGGATTGGACAAATTCATGGAGGATAAGGCTATCAATGGCTCTGTCTTCAAGGAGCAGAAAGAACCGTATGTTCATAAATGTTGCTACAGCTTGTTTTGTTTTGTTTTTCCTGATGAGCAAATCAAAATCTGTAAAGGTAATAGGGGACTTTGCATTTTGACAGACTGAGCTCACCCTCTGAAGCCCCCCCCCATGATTTTTAGCATTGATTATTTGTAGCATATGCTCTGCCCACAGTGCTCTGCCCCATGACTTACACAATGATACAATGTGATGGGGGCTAAATGGTTTGGAACAACTGCAAGTCATTGATCTCTGGGCTTTTGTATGTGTTGAAGAGACAAAACTCACGTACTGCAAAATATTTGAACTTATATCCACAGGGTATTATTTAATATATATGAAATATATGTTCATTTGTCAGCTGTTGTCAGATGATGGAAGCAGTGGCGTAGCGTGGGGGGTGCAGGGGGTGCCGGCCGCACCGGGCGCAACATCTGGGGTTAGGGCAAATCCACGGGTTAGGGGGTGCAAATCCACGGGTTAGGGGGCGCAAATTACTTGCCTTGCCCCGGGTGCTGACAACCCACGCTACGCCACTGGATGGAAGCAAGTAAACCATTAACGTGTATTGGACTTCTGCTATGTACAGAAGCAGCTTATCTGCTTCTCTCTCTTTTTTAAAAAAACCTGATACCCTCACCCACCTGCTTGACTTGTAGGAGTTTTAGTTTAACAGTTCATACTGTAACCTGCAGAGTGAGCAGATAACTCTGAAGATGTGGCCTAATATACCTGACATGTTTCCAAGTTGCTAAAGTACTAGAATAAAGAGGGTGAAATTAATGAACATATTTTAAGCTACACTGCCCTCCAAGTTACTTAATCTAGAGGTCCCACAAGACCTTCAGTTTATGGAACTAGTCTTCAAAGAACCATGTTGGAAGGAAGGTAATGGACTATTACTTTCAGGAGTTGAAACTCAAATATGGCAGGACTGTAGTTATTCTGTTGTGTTGAAGATTTTGTTGTTGGCATCCATCTGTCTTGAGAGATAATGAAGTGCACCTCTGGGGGTGAAGTCAAACGCTGCATCTGCAGCACCAAAGTGTTCTCCCGAGGGCACAAATGTGGGTAGTGTGTATGGAAATAATCAGGCAAAAAATGATAAAAAGAATAACTGTCTCATGCGTTTTAGTCATGTGTAATCTTTCTTTATGAGGAATTAGTTTATAAATTTACTGGATAAATGAAGCAGATAGATAGATAGATAGATAGATAGATAGATAGATAGATAGATAGATGATAGATGGCATTCTCTCACCATTTATAGACTTTTGTAGAGAGAGTTTGGGATTCTATCACGGGTACTAAAATAAGAAAGCAAGCAACATTTTTACTCAGTTGTTGCAATTTCTTTATTGTGGGGTTTTTTGGTTTTTTTTTGCAGCCATTCATTAATTAGTCTGACAAAAAATGCATACATACCCCTGCTCTTCAGCTAAAAGGCACACAGCTATTGTAACAGAAAATAATATACCATCTCTACGAAGCACTAAATACAATATTTTGCATGAGGGTTCAATATAGTCTGGAGCAGCTATTGTTATGTACATATCATGCTTTGCTACTTGATGCTCAAAATGTGAGGTGGGATGTCTCTGTAGAAACGTGAGCAACAGATTCCTATTAAACATACACATATAAATACACATACGCACACACATTTCACCATTTGGACATATCAATTCAATCAATTCAGTTCCGGATCTGGAATGAACTCCCAGCATACATCAAAACATCCATTTTTTATGTCTACAGTACTTTCATGTATTTAGAAGCAGATAGAAATTATAATAATGACTTCTTGTTTTAAAAACAAACCATGATTTTGCACAGAGCAGACTAAGAAAGAAGCACAACTATGTTTCAAACCTTCAAGTTCTTTCAGTGGCCAAATGAAAAAAGCAGTTCTATGTTCTTGTAGTTTACATATACATAATCTGCTTCCTTTTAATGCTCAGCAAGGTGTAAGTATTTGAGGAACTCCATGTGTTGCTGTCCCATTGCCACAAAAGAAAGATCTGGGAGAGAAAAGGCAGAAACCACCATGTAAATAAATCTCTCACTTCCATTAAGTTTTCCTTGCCCCTCCTCAATATATTTCACCAAATGTTGAAAAGAAGCAGAGATAGCCAAGTGTGAGCATAAGACTGGTAAGTTAAGGAATGTACATGATTTTCTCAACTGGAAAGTTGTGGTTTGTTCCAACAGAATTGTTAATCATCCAAGTAGTCTTTAAAGCGGGAATGGGGAGCTCTGGCCCTGACTACTGAAGAATCTCAGTGGATGCTGTGACCGCAGGGACTGGTAACTTGTAATTTCTGCCTCCTGCATTGTTTTTGCTGCATTCGCAGCACCAAAGTGACCTCTCTAGGGCACAAGCCAGGGCAGTTTGCATGGAGGTCCTGGGCTGCCCAGATTACGACACCCCCCCGCCCCTGATGGTATAAATCATGAAATCAAAACATTCAGAATAGCCATACTTACTCATGCCCATCCTTTCCACGGACTAGGCGCACTCTTTCAGCTCCCAGTTTAGCCCAGTGTGAAGTGAAGATCTTCTTATGCCAAATAAATTCAACTCTTGAAGCTTTTACAGGATTAATTTCGACACTGATGAGCTTTGAGTAGGTTTGCCCTTGGTTAAGGCTGCCACTGAAAATGGGCAAGCAATGAAAGTCATTAGAGAGCATCAATATAACAGTTGTGCTGTGCAATTGTCAATTTAATAGTCAGGTAATCTGCGGAATTATTGTTGCTCATTCACATTTCGTGTCACTCACGTACATATATTTCAAGATGGATGAGCAGGTGAGGCTGAAAGCCTGACTTGTTAAAGATCACCCAATAAATCCATGAAATTGTTGCACATTATTATTACATACCAACTTCTAAAAGAGGGCATCAAGGTGTTATAAAATCTGCTCTGAACTTTTACAGTGCTGTCCGTTCTCCATTGTAAGGACTGGTTGATCATTTAATTGTTTTAGTTGTTTGTGTTATTTAGGATTTCTTTTAAGAGAAGCAGGGATGGCAAAAGACACATACAGAGAAAGAGAGAGGCACAGTCAAAAGAGTAAAAGTAGGTTCCATATTTAAGGTTAAAGATTGTTGGTGTCCATAGCAGCCCTATACATTCCTCAGAGCACCAGCAGGCTGTGGACTGTCATACCTGCAATTATTTAACTGTGACAGGCAGGGCCGTCTTACCCATAGGCAGTAGGGGTTTGGGGCACCCGAGCGCTGAGCTCTCAGGGGTGCCAGGCCGAGAGTCCAGGGCCCATGAGTAGAATCTGGGGAAGAGCCTGCCCGTCGGTCAGAGCATCGCGGCGGACTCTTCTGCTGCAGGCGGCTCTGCACCACGAGTTCAGGGGCAACCGAGCCAGTGAGATGCTGAGACAGCCAGCCGGCTCTGCCCTCCTGCACGCCTGGGACTGGGCAACCTGGGGAGGGGCACTGGGCGGATCTTTGCACCCCGGCGCCGCATATGCTTAAGATAGCCCTGGTGACAGGCAACCGAAACTACGTGTACATTAACATCACAGCATATAAACAGAACAGCTGACTTGTGAAATATCTGCACACAACTTATAAACATGTTTAACGATGATTAATTGAATCATGTATGAGCAAAACTGCAAAACCTGCTATTTCGCTATATCATAAAACATACCTCCCAATTTGGTATTCTTTTGTCTTTCCATCTTTCATTTGGAAAGCTATGTCCATTTCTCCCTTCACGCCTGTCATTCCAGATAGCTTGACCGATATATTATATAGCCAGCCTACACAATAAATATATAATGAATCAAGATATGAAAGTAGGAAGAGCAAGAACTGCAAATAGAGAGGAAGAATTCTATGCATTTAGCATTCATGCCTGAGGCAAATGAAAAAGCAACCGTGGTTACTTTAATAGCCTTAAATTTAAGAAATTTGGGGAGAGGTGAGTTGAACAAGACTTTCATTACTTGAAATTTGGATCCAGGCCACTGTTGCTGTGTTGGTTCGAAGCTTAGATTATTAATATAAAATTAAAGGTGTATGATTTTAAATCCACTGCAGTGTGGGAAGAGCTTAATTTCTTTAATTCTTAAGAAGCTGGTGCTACATTTGGCCCAATTATCCCCCCCCTTTGAATTTTAAAACTAGCAAAAACAAAGGGGAAAAAGAAAAATGTGCAGTGCCCAAATGTGTGAAGTATTTCATTGCCTTTCCCTATGTATTTTGCCCATGAAAAACAGCATTTATTTGTACCTCAATCATCAACATTGCCCAATTAGACAATCCTAATTAGGAATGGGAATTTTATGTTTAATAAATGAATCTCATTGAGGTCAGAGAGATATGCTTCCTGGTTATGCATAATTAGGATTGCAGCATGAAGGTGTGTGAATATTATCCATGCATATGTGATTGCTTCCTGTGCTTGTTGATATGTGATCTTTAATCATTTCACACATTGGGGATGGGCTGTAGCTCAGTGGAAGAACAAGTGCTTTGCATGCAGGAGGTCCTAGGTTCTATCCATGGCATCTCCAGGTAGGATTTCTGTCTGAAACCCCGAAGAGCAACAGCTAGTTAGTGAAGACTGTACTGAGTTAGATGGACCAATGGTCTGACTCAGCATAAAGCAGCTTTCTATGTTTCCTACTGAAGGCTTCACACTTGGAGAGAGAGAAAACTGACCAGGAACTTTGTAATCTGTTCCTTGCAACTTCAAACACATTCTTGGGGCTTGTACAAGGTCACCTGGGATTAGAAAATCCACAACAATCGTCCCTGCACTGTGTTGGCACTTGGAAATGATTCCAGTTGAAAACGTGTTCATTTCTCTGCATGGAAAACAATGGGGAAGTCACAGCTATGTGTCCTGTTTTGATTCCCAAAACTGTGATCACTGCATGGACTGTTGAAAAGAGTCTTGTATATCAACAGATTTCACGGCAATGACACCCATGTGTATCTGTACTGAACTGACTTTAATTTGTGCACTTACTGGTAAATGGCTTCTTAGGTGCTGTATCTAAAAAGTACTTTGGGTTGTTATTCCTCAGTTTATTATGGAACCGATCAGCATAGTGGCCCATCATTGGACAGCCTTCTCTGGGGCATGGAAAGCAATTTCCCTAGGAGAAAATAATGCATTGGTAAAGAGAGCATTTGCTTTTTTCCATTCAAACATTTGTTATGGTGTCAGTTCAAGTATCCTTTGTTGCTCTTCCGCCTCATTGTCTCAACCTATGAGGGGTATGAATTATTATTTTTGTTCTGCAATTTTCCCCATACTAACCTGGAGTACTCAATACCTGCAATCCTAACCCTGAGTATTCAAAAGCAAGTCTAGTTGAAGTCAATGGAACTTAATCCCTGGTAAACAAGGTTTGGAGTGCAGCTGATTCATGGGATTGTAGCCAACATACTTCTAACTTTCTCGTTCCATCAACACAAGGTTTCTGCTTACACAATGGATTATTCTCCCCTCTCCTCCACCTGCACACTCCCTAAATCTGTTCTAGTGGTTCCCCCAACTCTCCAGGGCAGATCTGAGGGGGAGGGGGAAGTCCTGTTGTGCAAGCAGAAATCCTTGCACTGATGGGATGGGGATAGTTGAATTGCCCTTAATTTCTACAGTGAGAGGTGTTGGTATTCAAGGCTGCCTGATGCTCACATTCTGCTCTGAAAGTCTTTGTGCCTAACCCTTGATGTGTATGGAGTCTGTGCAAGTTTATGTTTAATATTACATAAAATGTTGGATATTTTAAATGCATTGTATTCAAGTTACTGTAAAGAATGTTTAAGCACATGGCCAGTATTTTTCCACGGAACTGGTGTTTTTTCCACTCAAGGTGAGGCAGCTTGAGGTTGTGACTGAATCACAAGGTTTGAATACTATTACAAATGTTTATATATGCTAATGAAATTGCTTGCGTGTGCAAAAACTATGTGTAGTCTCTCTCTCTCTCTCTGGGCGTTGGCTCAGCATGTAGCAGGAAGGAGAAAGAGAGAGAAAGAGAGACAGAGTGTTTTGTATTCCTAACTACATTTTAGTAAAATCTGTTCTCAAGTCTCACACTGGGCTCAGTCAGTCTGTGAGAAAGAAGTTTTGTAAGATTAACATTTGAAACTTGAGTTCTGCTAGTAAAGCTTTGAAAATGCAATTCTTCTATGGAATAAAATTTAGATGCAGAATATTTATTGATTTCATAGATCTGTAGTACATGCTAGGCCCTGCCCTAGTTGCAGAGTGGGGGTGGAAGGCCCCTCATTGGCACTGTGCCAAGTCCCATGTCCCTTGCCAAGTCTGGTATTGGCCCTGCTATTCCGATATAATCTAATCAAACTAGACCACCATGCTTACCTCTTGGAAGGATTCATATGATTCACATGGGTAAGCAACAAATCCTCCAGGAAAGAGAATGCTGTACCTATAGTACTCATGGCTTCTTGAGTGGTGACAGTTTCCAACACCCTCCATTTCTGCCAAAAAGAAAAAAGAAAAGCTGCAAGCCTCAGTGAAGAGCTTTACAACCCCATCCAACATCACTTATGGTACAACAAACACCAACTTATGCAATTCAGGACAAATATGGATGCAACATTTAAGTGTGGTGAATGGTCTTTGTGCTCTATCTATCAAATATTGTCTACTAAATTCAAGGCTCTATGTAAGAATAGCACCTGCACATTTTGCATGCTACAGCACCATCCTAGAGCTCAGGTCCTATAAACCACAGTTTATGGCAGAGATAGCACAAGCAAAGTAAATTACAAATATACATTAGAAGCCACACGTGGAATGGAGCAAGTTGCCCCCTTTCTGGTTTAAGCTTGCTATATAAGCAGACTCTGCATGTATATGCTATAAACCAGGGCTCACCAGGGCACATGGTACCCACAAACACCTTCATTGGTTCCTTTGCCTTGGACTCTGACCTTTCTTTCTTTCTTTCAAATCTCTAGCCCTCCTAGAAAAAAGTTATGGTGCAAAATGTGCAAGTACTTTCTAAGCGATTTCTGTGAAATCAGAATGTGTGTGATGTGACCACCTTCCTGGTGTTGTTGTTACCTCTGTGTGTAATCATTATTATGTGATCTCCACAGTTAGAACCAGTAGGACATAGCTGACTTCCCAAGGTAAACATAAAGTTGTCAGGATGGTTGTCTCTCTAATTTTATGATATGGCACTCTCCCCATAGCAGCCATACTTGTGACTGGTGTCCCCAGCGCACTTTCAAAACTTGAACTATGCCCACTGGTCCAAAAAGTTTTGCAACCCCTGCTATAAACAATGCAGACAGGCTTACCTGTATCAAAGTCAGTTTCAACTAGTGTTGTATTCTTATCATCACATCCTGGCATAACTCTTCCACCATTGGGGTAAAAGTCAAGATCACCAGTGGCATTGAACATACCAAATCCTGAAACAGATTCATAGGGCAATAAATGGTTTGGTCCATGCTTCAACTTTCAGCACAAAATTCATGTGTGTTTGGCAGTTACCTATTGTGGGAAACTTTCCAGCATTGGTATGTATGACATCCACAAATTGAGCATCGGAAGGATCCAGCCTGACCATATCAGGGAAACCTTCAAAACCTATCCCAGCTGGATCCAAGCCTAAAAAAACATAAAATAATCCAGTTAGGAATTAGCAAACCTGTTTTGTTTTTTTCTGGGTCCAAGAATACAACCCATCAAATCCCTGACCATTAGCCTTGCTGCTTGGAGCTGATGGAGGTTGTAGGGCTGTGTTAGCACTCTATTTGGTTTGTTAGAGCTCCATATTTGCTGTGTGCCAAGGCTCAGTGACCCACACTTCCCTAGTGGTTAATAAACACATGGACATAAGTATTTAGGTTTATGGGTTCAAATAGGCCACAACTTTATTGGTTACAGATGTGAGTGGTTTGGCTTAGGCATTGGGTATAGCCAGCCTATATCTCTACTCCTGCTGGGAGTCCATCTAAGGGTAAACCACCAATAGGGGGAGCCCTATGACTTACATCAAATATGGACACCCTGAGGGGTTCCCCATTGGGGTCATGGCATGGCCCTAGCCCACATCCAGGCATCAGAAAGAATCCACACCCCCGGATACCCTTAATGAGGAGGGGCAGGTAGAGACTACAACCTCCCCTCCATCCAAACAAAGGCTTACCCAATGCCTAAGCTCACAAAGTTGTGATGATTGCTACAAGGTAGGCGAAAACCAAATGGCTGGTGCCAATTTGCCAAGTGGAAAAAATTCCTACCCAATCGCAACAGTATTGCAGACAACATTTGTCCATAGCAGGGTTGTGCCATTGCAAAGCATAAAAAAGAGGGTGGGTAGGGAGATTCGGCAAAGGGCGAGAGAGGAGAGGCCCCTGGCTGCACTGTGGTTTATGTTTCCCACGGCCACGCCCCTACCAGTGCTGATTGGACAGCAGGGCCACCCCTGGGTGTGGCTCCACCCAGTGCCCGTGACGTGGTTGGGATGGCACGAAGGGGGTGTCAATCTCTGCCCCCCCCCACCAGATCACTGCAGCAGCCTGGATGCCTGGCTGCAACCCCACCCACTGGAAAACATGAGCAGACATATTAGCAGTGCTCTTCAGCAATCCATATATGAACCCTCACCAACTCCTCCTAGTAGAAAAAAACCCCAGATTGTTTTAAGTGGAGATTAAGAAAATTCTGTATTCGAATATGAAAGGATAGAAATTGAGAATACATGAAAGGAGACTAGCTAGGTGGAACAGTATCATTTAATTTTAAGTTAACATAGAGAAAGGATATATTAATAATAAATTATTAATAACAGTTGTTTGTAGAAAGGTAAGGAATAGTTTAATTAATCGAAAATTAATTAAATTAGTTCTTGAAGGATGGCAGTGTTTAATGACATATTATTATAATGAGAAGGTTGGGGTAGGTTAGCTAAGGATCTCTGATTGATTTCAAATGATGACTATGGATTGTAATTGCTATGGGAAAGTTGTTCTAATCCTTTGATTGGTTGTTTGTAATCACAGGCTAGCATAGAAGTGTATAAGAGTTCATGCTCCTGTATGTCACTTCATAGCCTCTTTATTTTTTGGGCTGTCCCTGTGAACATTTTTATTTCAATAAAGGCCTATATTTTTACATGCAGCCTGCAGCCTTTTCTTTGGGTTTCTGGAAGCGCTACCTCCGGTCTAGGAACCCCTTTTAAATTTCTTCAACAGTAACATCTACACCAGGCCTTTATGCTGACACAGTAAATAAGGCTCAAAATGATGGTCCGCTATCACATGAAACTATAGAAACCTCCTTGCCCACCCAGTATCTTTTGTCCTAAAAATCAGGATAAAGCACATCTACTCCCTGTTGCTAGCTCCTTTCTTTTCACTCCCACCTTCTTTTGCCAATCTTCTGCATGGCTGGAATGTGGTGAGAAAGATGAAATGCAGAATGTATGACATCTTTTTCAGTCAGCTATACTGATATGATGTAAAGCCTTGACTTGCAATTGTGTTACTGTGCATTTTTATCAATGGTCCTTATACTTCCAGCATTTCCTAGTGATGTTGCATCTGAACGAGCTTGGCCATAGGTAAGCATCTGGTTGGCCTTTATCAATCAGATGAGATCCCACATTTTCCCACTGAATATCTTTCACCAATCAAGCTTTCTCATGTGGCATTCACACCATCCATTTAAAGCACATCTCTTGTCCCCCAAACAGAATCCTGGGATTTGTAGTTTGCTATGGGTGCTTGGAACTGTAGCTCTGTGGGATTAAAATACAGTTCCTAGGATTTTTGGGGGGAAATGTGCTTTAAATGTATGGTGTATACACAACACAGATTAAAATGCAGTTTCATAGGAATTCATACCAGTTATTCTGCCAATGCCTGAAAATTGTCTGCCAGTGCCTCGAAGTCGTCTTCCTACTTCTCCAGCAGTGTGAGCACCAAGACTATGACCAATGAGGTGGATCTTGGATGGACAATAGTGATACACTTTCTAGTGATTCAAGAATGGGGGTGGGGAATATATAAGCTTAAATGATCAGTAAAGGAGACATAATTCTTACATTAATGCAGCAGAGAGTTTTGCACAAGCACTGTAATGCAATTGACATGGACTCAGGGCTTATATTGACACTGGTTGCATTGAGTGAACTGGATAAGTTAAGGATTCTTCAGCGGGGGCAGCAGAAGCAAGGTGGGGGGCACTTCCTGTTTTTCCTCAAGCAGTGAAACGAGACATACCGCCCTTGCTTCAAAAGATGGATAAAACTGTACAGTATGTGCAACTTGTTGGCAGTGCAATAAAAGCAGAATGTGAAAAAATGAATGCAAAAATTACATAAAAGGGTATAAAGTGGGAACGGAATGAAATCTAGGACGCTACATACAAAGTTGGTATCCATTTATAGCATGCAGTAATACCTCATCTCAAGTACATTTGACTTGCACAATTTCGGCTATACACAGTTGAAGGTAGACTGGTAGGGTTGTTCTCTTGAGACTCCATGGGACAATTCGACTTCCTGCAAGATCTTGCAAGAGTATCCCTAACACTGCTAGAGCCAGCACAGTGAGCAGGCCTTCCCTAAGAGACAAGGCCAAGAGCTTCAAAGCACTTTTCACAGTGGGTAATTCCAAGCGGTCCTTGTGTGAAAAGAGCTCTGAAGCTCTTAGCCTTGCTTGTGGGGCAATGCCCACTTAGCGCACTGGCTGTGGGAATGCTGAGGGTCCTCTCTTTCCCTCCCCCCTTATAGAAGGCAGGCTGACTAGTTGTGGGGTGGATCCAAGGGTTTGTCAAGATGCAATTTCCACATCTATGCATAATCCCTGGAACTGAACTCTTACGTAAGATGAGGTGCACCTGCATTTGACCTGGCTGAATTCATATGGGGAAGTTGGTGCTTCTATAACAAAATAGATTTGGGATTTTATTTGAATATACTTGGGTCTGCTATCTGCTTAGAATCTTCTTGCATGTATAATGTTTCTATTATATGCATTTTTATTTTCTATACCTATAGAGAAAAACATAAAATATATTTTTTTTAAAGGGCTGATTTGGTAGGATATAGTATCTGGCTCTGAAACGTAACATCATACTTACCGCTAAAGTGTTGATAAGATAAGCTGTTACAGCTCCTAAAACACGAATGTTGCTTGCGGCTGTGAAGTAGGTACATTTGGCACCATCTTCCCAATCTACAGCAATGCAGTTTATGTTCTCCACCTTCACCAGCAGCTGCATCACATGTATGTTTCAGAAAAAGTAATATGTTAGAGGTTGCTAATGCAATCAGAAACACTGGAGGTTCTTTCAAATGTACTTGATCACCAGTTTCAAAGGATCCAAAAACTAGGTAGTCCAATCTCATACCCAGAAGCAGGGCTAGCCTTCTGCCCACCTTCCACAGTTTAGCCTACACAATCCAGGTCACAGTGCACAACAAGGAGACAGCAACTGTACAGTAAGGTGTGATTTTAGAGCAAGACACCAAAGACTCTTGCAAACCAATGCATCCCCCGAGTTTGAAGAAGGCAAAATGACCTACTGATTCCCATTGTTATTATTGTGAGCCTGTGTGTTTGCATAATGTTCACCTGTTCCCCATGTCCTAGATTCTGTAACTGAAGAAGGAAACTAGTCAAGATAAATCTCATACCAAGCACATCTCCACAACCCAGCCATATTTTCCAGTGCTGGTAAATCCATGGATAACAAAGCGAGTTTTCCTCAATGGAGAGAAATAAGAATTTTGAACAGTTGATTTTTCGGTGTATAACAGTTTCTGTTGGGAATTAAAAATATAAAATTAATTTATTTTAAGGATCTTCAAAGCAAAGAATGTTTTCTCACTTATTCTCAGGTACCAACATCCTCATAAAGTTCTACTGGCTAGAATTGTGCTTGATTTTTCAACTGTTGGCACTAATGCCTTGTGAAAAGATCCTAGAATCTGAGGTTTTCCAAATCCTCAAGTGACTCATATGCTCCTTGGCAATACAGATTTCAATGCTAGCTCATCTCTAGCCTGCTTTACAAGCGTATATATCTCAAATCCTATACAGTGGTACCTCGGGTTACAGACGCTTCAGGTTACATACGCTTCAGGTTACAGACTCCGCTAACCCAGAAATAGTACCTCGGGTTAAGAACTTTGCTTCATGATGAGAACAGAAATCGTGTGGCGGTGGTGCAGCAGGAGTGGGAGGCCCCATTAGCTAAATGGTACCTCAGGTTAAGAACAGTTTCAGGTTAAAAACGGACCTCCAGAACGAATTAAGTTCTTAACCCAAGTTACCACTGTAATGATTAGTTCTCCATCAGGATGAGTGAATATGTCTATATCAGTTTCTCATTTTCCCAATCTTCAGCTCTCCATATTTCCACATTTGCAAACTATTTTTTTAATATTAAAAAGTTATCATGAAACTTCTTCAGCATTTTAGTGCCAATTTCTCCCAATAGGCACATTTTTGTATGCAATTTGCCCAACGTACACATTTTTCCAAAGCATTTTCTCCTATTATGATGCATTTTCTATGTTATTTTCAGTAATATATGCAATTAAGTGCAGACTTTACATGAGTAGATGCACTTCTGTGCACATTCTTGGCTGGAGAACTGCATTGCAAAATTCAGAGGAGTGTGAATTTCAAAGCACGGCTGCATTTCAGTTTGTGATTTGCTTTGGAAAGCGTGACAGGTGAGTTAGCTTTCAAATGAGAACTGAATTGACTTTCTCTCCTATCCCTCATTAGCAATTATATACCACAGGCATAGGCAAACTCAGCCCTCCAGATGTTTTGGGACTACAACTCCCATAATCCCTAGCTAACAGGACCAGTGGTCAGTGATGATGGGAAATGTAGTCCCAAAGCATCTGGAGGGCCGAGTTTGCCTATGCCTGAGATACCATTTTCAATGTGGAAAGAGCTTCATAGATTCTGTCATCCACAGACATGGCAACCCTGCCAGATGGTTGCTGTTATACAAATGGTGAAAAAAGGAGGCTGAGAACCTCTGTCTTAGCAAATGCCATTGTCTGATTAGACAGGATCAAGCCTAGCACATACAGGCATACACAGATATTGCCAACAGTTCTTAAATAAACAATTAAAAAAGGTTGCCTCACCTGTGAAAGATTCCCAGTCTCTCTAGTGAAAAGCAAAAAAGATATATTCATGCTTTCAGGAGATGCTGGTAAGCCAAACAACTTTCTCCCAGGTATTCCTGACCAAGGGGGCTTATCAGAAAAGCAACCTAGATCTTTATAGCAGACTTCATTGGCTAGAGAGCATGCAAGGCAAATTGTTAAGTACATGGCATTCACCAGACGTTGTATCACCTATTACAAATGTAATTTGTAATTATTACATTACATTACATTACATTGTACATTACGTTACATTACATTACATTGTTACATTATTATAGTGAGTTTGATCTGCACTTACAGGTAAATGTGGTTAGGACTACTGCCTAAGTTTTAGTGGTATAAATTAGCCTCATATATCCAACATGCTTAGCTCTAGTTAATGCATGAAGGGGTTAAGACCATAGATCAAGCTATTCTGCTAGACTTAACTAGGTCACACCCACTTAACTTGGAAAGAAGGAAGTCAAGTTTCTCTATTCACTCCCTTCCACCATGTGAATCTGACCAGAGAAGATGTATGGGCTAATCACTCTAAGCCCAGACCACATGTTTAGAACCATTTTACCACCAATTTTGAAGCTAAGCTTTACTGCCTCTCTTCTCTTGCTGCCGTATGGAAAAGCACATGAATCTGACCTTTGAAAGTGTTTGTAAGTAAAAAAACATTTTTAAACTTTCCAATCTGCATGGTCTTTTCTGTGCTAAAGGGGAATACAGGGGGAACCTTGTAAGTAACTTAAAAAGGGATATTTTAAAAGTCTAGTTGCCTACATTCCCATGCTTTACTTTGCTGGAAGTTTTGTGATTTTAAATCTCTGCTGTAGTTCTCTTACCAGACATGGATTCAGGAAATTCTTCTTTTATTAACCAAAACCAATCATAATCAACAGTTTTATGCACGGAGTTTCTTGTGAGCCACTTAAAGACAATTGTAATTAAGCAATATAGAAACTGTTGAATTGAAATAAATTATAAAGAAGTTAACCATATCTTAATTCCCATTAAAATCAATGGGATAGGCTAGACATTACTTAAGTAACATAGTCTGCATTTGACCCATTACTCTTGTAAGAATGCATATGTTTAAATGTGTGTCCACAGATCATTTTACGGATGTCTCTGGTTGGATGCTGTAAATGTGTACATGCATAGGTTCTATGCAGAAACCTAATAAATGTGTAGAGGTTGACAATAAAAGCCTATTCTTCCTCCATATGTTTACTATCCTGGAATAAAGGTTGTCCACACAGAACTGTAACAAAAGAGCCTGGTTGTCACTAAATTTCAGTCAAACATCTCGGAAGTATTGGCACTAGTCCATCTAGTTTACCACACTGACTGGCAGTGGCTCTCCAGGTTTTCAGGAAGGGACTCTTTTCCAGTCCTGCTTTAGCAATTTTGTGAATTGAATCTGGAAACTTCCACATGAAAAGCAGATGTTCTACCACTGAGCTGTGGCGCATCCCCTAAATGTCACATTGTCATGCCACAAACTGCAAAGCGAATTTCTAGAATGTTTCAGTCTTTGGTTCTCTGCCAGTCAAAAGGATGTTGATGCCATTTGGTGGCAAACTGGAAGAGGCTTTAGCTTAGTTTGTCTAATCATGAAATTGTTCTCTTGAAATACATAATGTGTAAAGTATTGCCTCACCTTCTGCTGTGCCAAGGAGGAGGAAAGCACCAATCCAAACTATAGGAATCTGCAATAAATTTAAATATACATGTTATACAATGTTAAATATACATGTTATGCAATAGATGTTATACATCTATGCTGTGGCAGTTTTACTATTCCAGAACCACTCATTTGCTGAAACAAGTTACTTAACAGTGCAGCCAATATCAGCACAGTACAAGGTCCCCTTCCCCCATGACCTTATATCCTTTCCAGCTAGACATGAAATACTGTGGGTGCTGTTTATTCTCTTCTCTGTAGCAAACATAACTGGGATGCTTTGGGGCTTAGATATGTGACACACACAAAAAAACCTGTCTCGATGGGAGGCTTTTAAGGCGGAGACTGTAAGCCCCTAAGGTGGCGAGTGAGTTGTTAATAATACCAAGAATACTTAGTACAACAAAAGCACTGTTGGACTGTTTGCATCATGCGGCGATTACTGGACAAGATGGTGAATGAAAATGGACCAGAAAAGATGAGGTTAAAGAAGACACAGATCCTTTGGAGAATAATATTGATAAAGGACTGCCAGAACAGGAGAGTGGAACGCTAAAGCTAGAGGCAATAGATGGTGAAATGGAGAGGACCTTCACACAGGTGCCTAGAGGAGTGAACCACTCAAGGGGTGGAGTTACAATGTTAGAGGAGTGCAATGAAACCACGGATGGAGAGATTAAGAAATATTCTGAGCTGGTAGAGAAAGAGCTGAGAGAGAAAGCATTGTGTGCTCAATTTGGAGTGAATTTAGAGGGAAAAGCTACCAAGCCTCTGGCAACATTCCTGAAAAAAGAATGAAAGAAGCAGAAATGGAAGGAGTTAAAAAAACAAAAACAGTTCAGCTATGGATCACTGTTTTAATAAAAGACCACAGCAGAGAGACTTCTGCGTGACTAAAGATGAAGGATATATTACTTTTCAACATGGAGGAATGGTTCTTGAAGTTTTTGGAGGTATAGTTGTTATGCTGGACTGGGGAAGACTTTTTGACACTTATCAATAATAATAATTGGAGAAGCCCTTTAAGACTTTTTGTTTGAAAGGGGAAATGAATGAACTTGAGATGTCTGGATCTGGAGACTGGGAAAATATCACCTAGCAGAACGAGGAACAGCTGCATTTCATTCTGGAATGAATACTTTGAATAACCTTTATATGTATATAACTGACAGAGAATTGGAAGCCCTTTTTATTTCTCCCTCTTTCCCTTTAAGAAGAATCATGCTGCCCAGACACTGAGGCCCAGCGCCAAGGGCCTTCTGGCGGTTCCTTCACTGTGAGAACCCAAGTTACAGGGAACCAGGCAGAGGGCCTTCTCGGTAGTGGCATCTGCCCTGTGGAACGTCCCCCCACCAGATGTCAAAGAGAGAAATAACTACCAAACTTTTAGAAGACATCTGAAGGCAGCCCTGTTAAGGGAAGCTTTTAATGTTTAATAGGTTATTGTATTTTAGTGTTTTGTTGGAAGCCACCCAGAGTGACTGGGGAAACCCAGCCAGATGGGTGGGATATAAATTATTATTATTATTATTATTATTATTATTATTATTATTATTAAATTTCTTTTATTGTTTTTATATTCCTGCTTCTTTTTCTTCTTTTTTCCTTGTTTTGGTGTCCTCTACTCTGGATCATTGAGGGGATTGTACACACATGAAGGTAAAGGACCATGTGTGAGAGGCAGGGAAGGGAAGATATCTCAGACTGGGAAGTTGGAAGAAGAAAGGGAAGCTCCCAGGTGTGAGCTGGGAGAGTTCTGAGTGGGATAAGACTTAAGATTCACCTGTGAGAAGGGAGGACTTTTTATTTTCTTTGCTCTTTACTTTTTTATATTTAATTTATTTTTTATTGTATTGTATGATGGAAAGGAACCCTCCTCTTGTGTGGCAAAAGTCTTTGGGCTTGTAAAACCCAGCAAAGCACTCGTAAACCAAGGCAGGCAGTAGTATCAAATGCAGTACATGAAATACCTAATCCTCATTCCTGGCCTCCTACACTATGGCAGTGCTTCTTGGAATTGAACCAAGATAGCAATTAAGAAGCATAGTATGAGGTGGGTGTGAGAATCATACTGCAAAATATTTGATATGAATCAGAAGGCACGTGAATGTGGAGATGTCATTAGTTCACCACCACATAGCCTTAGTCTTCCACATAGTCTTCCACATAACCTTCAAATGCTAGGAATTCTGGCATTTCCTTTTGGATCAGTTTACAGCAGTAAACTGCTGTCATGCCTCGTATTGCGTTAGGTTCATGTTGCATCTTTTCCGCTTGTGAACGCGGCAAACCCAGAAGTGTATACTTCCGGGTTTCACCATGTGTGCGCGTGCAGAAACGTCCTGCGCGCTTTGCGCATGTACAGAAGTGTTCTATTGTGCCGCACGCTTAGAAGCGCTGCTCTAGTTACGGACTTTACAGGGTGCAAATGGCACCCCGGAACAGATTGAGTCTGTAACTAGAGGTACCACTGTATTTATTAAAATATCATTGGTTGTCTTTCCATATTAAGACTGGATAATAAAACCTAGTTTCCCAGTTGCATTTCCATTCTCTTTACAGAAAATAGTCTTTTCCACATCAAATAAATTACCCTGAACATCAGTATGTATAACCATTCACTTACCATTCTAAAGCCTGAAGTTCAAAAATGCTGTGAAATCCCCTTTCAGATGGTTCTCTCCTGCTGCTGTGCTATTCCATCCTCTCCCTCCTGTGCACATAAGAATCACAGAGAGAGGGAAGAGACAAAGAATATTCTTCCGGAAATGATATGTCTGGAGAAGATCCAAGTTGGTAGGAGTGTATTTTCCTTCTATGGATGCTAATCATGCAGTTTTATATGCATGAAACAGCCAGGCAGCTTGTAATATTTGGGCTTCTGCTATTCCTTCCTGCTTGCTTCATCCTCCTGCCTCTGTCATCTTTGACTCATTGTTTGTGGACTGACTCCCTCTGAAGTTTCACCATTTACTTCAACAACAGACATAGGAGGAGCTAATATTTTGTATGTTACTTCCTGAAGTCACATGTGTATTTAAATTGATGAAAGAGACTGTGGGGATGAGAAATATGGAGTTACCTAATGCTTCTTCATCTATGAGTAAAGAGTTATCCACTTAGGACCCAGGGCCTGTGCTACTTTTGAAACTTTAAAGGGGAAGGGCTGTAGCTCAGTGGTATGAGCATCTGCTTTGTAATAATATAATAATAATAATAATTTATTATTTATACCCCGCCCATCTGCCTGGGCTTCCCCAGCCACTCTGGGCGGCTTCCAAAGAAATATTAAAATACTGCAATAAACATTGAAAGCTTCCCTGAACAGGGCTGCCTTCAGATGTCTTCTAAAAGTCAGGTAGTTGTTGTTCTCTTTGACATCTGGTGGGAGGGCGTTCCACAGGGAGGGCGCCACTACCGAGAAGGCCCTCTGCCTGGTTCCCTGTAACTTGGCCTCTCGCAGTGAGAGAACCGCCAGAAGGCCCTCGGTGCTGGACCTCAGTGTCCGGGTTGCATGCAGAAGGCAACAGGTTCAATCCCCAGCCTCTCCAGGTAAGGCCTGTCTCAAATCCTGGATAGCCACTGCCACGCAGTGTAGACCATCCTGGGTTGGGTGGGCCAACAGTTTGACAGTATAAGACACTGTCCTGCTAGCACTCCAATTGGAGAACAGGCTTTACCAAATGTGTCATGGACTTTGAAGATGAACAAGCTCAGGGCGAAAAGGAAAAACGAGCTAATAGGAAGGCACATTTGGCAGACCCTCACAATGATCAACTCTGCCCAGAAACCTATGTCCTCACTGTGGAAAGACGTGTGGATCCGAAACTGGCCTCCACAGTCACTTACAGACTCACTGTTAAGACTGTTTTCATGGAAGACAACCTTACTCAGCTACAAGCGATCACCAAAGAAGATAAGACAGCTTTCTATGTTTCTAGATGTGGTTGCATAATTTCCTAGTCCTTTAAAAATAATTTTGGCTGTGAATAGCCCTTGCAGAGAAAATAACTCATGGTGTAGCAATACTGAAGGGGGAAAAAAAACCAGATGCTTTCTCTGTGAGTTGGTGGCCATTTATTACATACTGTATGTTAATATTTCCAAAATGGAGAATATTGTGCCTGCTGCATCAGTACAGCTCTGGACTTCCTGATTGCTTTCTGTTTCTAAAATTTTGTTTGTTAGTTTGTGCCTTATCTCCTTTGGGTTATGAAGACTACTATGATATGGTTTGGGACACGGGTGGCGCTGTGGATTAAACCACAGAGCCTAGGACTTGCCGATCAGAAGGTCGGCGGTTTGAATCCCCGTGACGGGGTGAGCTCCCGTTGCTCGGTCCCTGCTCCTGCCAACCTAGCAGTTCGAAAGCACGTCAAAGTGCAAGTAGATAAATAGGTATCACTCCGGCGGGAAGGTAAATGGTGTTTCCGTACGCTGCTCTGGTTCGCCAGAAGCGGCTTAGTCATGCTGGCCACATGACCCGGAAGCTGTACGCTGGCTCCCTTGGCCAATAAAGCGAGATGAGCGCCACAACCCCAGAGCCGGTCACGACTGGACCTAATGGTCAGGGGTCCCTTTACCTTTATGATATTGTTATGGGTTTGCAGGGGGCAAGGATCACCACTAAAATTCCTGGGTGCCAAGTTCTCCCCATAATTTCTGAAATTGTAACCTGAGGTACCACTGTACTAGACGCTTCAGATTACCCATTTTCAGGTTGCGCAACACGCCGAACTTGGAAGTACTGGAATGGGTTACTTCCAGGTTTCGGCGCTCACGCATGCGCAGAAGCTCTAAATCACACTTTGAGCATGCGCAGATGCACCAAATCGTGACCCACGCATGTGCAGATGCGGCGCTGTGGGTTGCGAACACTGCGGGTTGCGAACATGCCTCCCGCACAGATCACATTCACAACCCGAGGTTCCATTGTAAATGCGGGGCTTGAAGTCAAGGCAGCTTCCTCAGGAGCTGGTTTAGAGAGGTGCTATCTAAGAAAGCCTGTCCTCCTACCAGAAGGGAGGAGTTGCGAGCAGGAGCCGGTTCCCGCATTGACAGGGGGGCATATTCGGCCCCTGCATCAGTTTCCCGGCTGCCGCACCGCGCCCATCAGCCAGCCAATAGGGCTGGCTTGGGGGCGGGGATTAGCCACATTCAAGCAGCCGCAGCAGCACCCTGCCCTCATGCTGCTGCCTGGAGTCGTCGGATCACCCTCCCACCCTCCCTTTAGGTCGTATTTATGCTTTTGACCTTGCTATGGACTTTGGTTGGTTGCCCTGGTTACCCAGGGGGCCTGGTAGGAATTTTTATCCATTTGGCAAACTGGCAACAGCCTCTTGGTTTTTCACCTACCTCGTAGCAAATCATCACAACTTTTCGGATATTGGCAGTTAGGCATTGGAATATGTGTTGTGTGTTGAAGGGCAGGTTGTGGCCATCACCTACCCCTCCCTTTGTTGGGTATTCTGTTAAAGGAATCCGGCAGTCATGGATCCTGTCCGATGCCCTGCTAGTGGCTAAGGCCATGGCATGATCATGGCGTGACATCAGGGGTAGCTTCCAGTTGTATTTGCATCAACAAGCTCCTACCACTGGTTGTTAACCTTCGGATGACTCCCTGCTGAGTGGGGTGGAGTCATATAGATTGTTTGATCCAGTGCCTAAGCCAATACCACTCACATGCTGTAACCAATAAAGTTGTGGCCTTCTTTAGCCCATTAACCTAAAATACATGTGTCCTTGTGTCTTATTTATCCCTATGCGGGTGGTGGGTCCTCGACTCACAACAAAGGCAAGTGATAGCAGAGCCGTTACCCTGACAAAAGTTGAGACAAGAAAGGGGAGGCTACCAGGGGACATGATGTCTCCACAGCAAAAAGTGCCTTTTGTAGGAGTCTTTTGAAATGGAGGTCACAGAGAGATGGTGGGATGCTGGAAGCAGAACAGGATGAGTTGTTTTCTGCAAAGACTTCTTAGAATAAGTAGGAGGAAGTAGGCAGAACTCCATGCAGTGCTGGCTGGAGATGGCTGCACTGAGAGACTGGGAGCCATGACTGCTTTGCACTTAAGTTTGCTGAAGCTATGAGAGGACCAATGAGAGACACTCTTGGGGTATTAATGAGCATCTGGAACCCCTGGAATCTCATACAGTCGCTCAGTGGAGATTGAGGTGCTGTGTAACAATATGATACAGAAGATCCCTGGTGAAGGAATGAGAAATTGGCTAAGTGGTCACTGCCCACCCTTACAAGGGGGCCCAATGCAGCTGGAGGTTGGCAGTGTCAGCTATCTCCTGCCCTGGCCGCGCTGGAAGATGGCAGCCTTCCTGGACCCACTACGGTGGCACCAGGCAGCAACAGCCATCCACACTGGAATCCCCAGTTAGCGGAAGAAAGTTGAGTGAGGATCATACAATATAATATGAATAAGAATAGTTACTTGACATCTGGCAAGTGGAAGGGGGAGATGATGTTCATATTTTTCTTTGTATGGAGGTTATTGTGTTTCATTTATGTGTAGTATTGCGATTTGGAATTACTGGTTTGCTTGGGGATGACATCCATCCAGTCTAGGAGAGTGTGGGTGGCGGAGGTTACATCTCCTGTCTCACAGGTGATAGATAGTAAATAACTGTATGAATGTCCTAAGTGCCATTTAAAATACCCAGGGCTGGCCTCACCATTAGACAAAGTGGAGTGTCTTCCTCAGGCAGCAGACACTGGGGAGCAGTGAGTGATACTAAGATGTTATAGTACAGGGCTATGTGTACTACATGTGGGCTGTCCTAAGTTTACCACACACTGCCCACAGATATGTTGGAGAATGCTTTCGTCAGTCTTGAAGGAGATTCAGCTGCCAGTCTGACTGGCTTCTGTATGTGGAACTGGGAGGGGATGCCATCTTGCCTTTCACCTTGGGTCAGCCCTAAAACTTACAAACATCTGATGCATACGGTCTCCTAAGGTTTTGCAACTGTTCCCATGGTTAATGAGGCCTTTGCTTCTTTGCAATACTTTGTAAGCCTCAGGATGTCACTCACGCCCTTCTGATTGTCATGCTGATAGAAGCCCAATAACCTCACCCATGCAACACTGATATGACAACAGTCACGGTATTGGGCTCCTTGTTAAACACAGTATCTGCCTCGCTAGGGATACCTGTTTCGACCAACAGATAATTAAGTCTTATCATTCTCATCAAGGGAGAAATGACCCTGGGGGGTGAGAAATAGGTACAATGCACAAAATAACTACAAACAAGCACAACTCATCTGCCCCCAAAAGGTAAGGCTCCATCCATCTAGAGAAGGGTCACAGAAACCTACCATTTCTAAAATGGCGACAAACTCAAGACGAATGCATATTTCTCTCGAGTGTGTGGCTGCTGTTTTAATTCCTGTCCAGCCATTGTGCCTTTGGTGGAATGCTCAAATGACCATTTCATAGTGTATATGAATGCCATTTCAACACGTAACCCCCACCCCTCAGATCACTCAACTTGTCACAGAGAGTTCAGGTAGCCAGACGTATACAATGAGCTCAGACACAAAATAAGTCAGTCAGTGCTTATAAAACTTTATTTGCATTTTGAGTGTGGCAGCTCTTTCATAAATGGCTGAGTTACCGCCTTAGGGTTCATTAGCCCCACAATTATCTTTCAGGCAGTTTCACCTGAAGTACTCTCTTCCTCAGCGTATTCTAGATTTTGCCTTGTAAAGAGCTGAGTTCAAAACATGTAGAATGCTTACTGACTAAACAAACAAACACTGTGGCTTTATTCTTCTGTGGCGTTCATTGCAATAAAACATGTGCCACACGGAGGGACAGGCAGTTGAATTAATTCCCTGTGATTTGGCTTATATTTAAAGTTTAACAAAAGTGTTGCTAAAGTAAACGTAGGGCCCAGAACTGAAACAGGGGCATGTTGCAGACCCTGCTTTTGTTCCCTGGTCTCCCTGCTTGAATGAACCGTTTCTGATGGCAAGGAGCTGTTTGAGTATGTAAGCAAGTACAGACTTTCCCCTTATGTCTGCTCTGAAGAGCTGT